CATCCAATGGCAGATTTGTGCTCTTTTAACACCCTTATCAACTTGTCTTCTTCTTGAGCCGTGAGTAAGCTTGAAATGATGACGGGTAGCGTTTGATCTTGGCCCAAGAACACATACTTCAAGTGACTAGGTAATGGCTTTAACTCAAGTATAGGTGGCTGCACAGTTGATGGAAGTAACTTGTTAGTCAAAACCGAATCTAAAAGTGAGATTGGAGACTTACCAGAGTGGGAGGGCAATGACTCGAGGGCAGCGACCATTTCAAGTACTTCATCACAAGAGGGCACGACAATATGGTCAGATTGCATGCCGTGGGTTGCCAAGACTCCCTCACACTTATTTCTTGTTCCTATGTCGTGGACTAAGGCTACCTCAAGTGCATCTTCGTTCATTTGATCTAAATGCACCTGTGCCAAAGAATCAACAATGTCAATAGCAAAACAAGAATGGTCCTCAATTGGATGTTTAATGGTTTCAGAAAGATTAAAATGAATAATGTCCCCATCAAACTCCATGGTCAATGTTCCCGTATACACATCAATCTTTGTTCTTGCTGTTTTCATGAAGGGACGGCCTAGCAAGATTGGCAATGATGGAGCATGGCTTGAATCCTCCATGTCTAAAACATAGAAATCTGCGGGGAAAATAAGGTGATTGACCTGCACTAAAACATCCTCAAGGACTCCCTTGGGATAAGCGTTAGAACGATCGGCCAATTGAATTATAACGCCATCTTGTTTTAACTCACCAAGGTTCATTGATGCATAAATGGAATATGGCATTACATTGATGGATGCACCTAAATCTAACATGCATTGTTCAAATCTAGTGTTTCCAATTATACATGGGATAGTAAAACTCCCTGGATCCTTACACTTTGGAGGTAACTTGCGTTGCAAGACCGCGGACACATTTTCACTTACTTTCACAACTTCTTTGTTTGAAATTCTTTTCCTAGTTGTGCATAACTCTTTTAAAAACTTTGCATACCTGGGCACTTGCTTAATAGCATCAAGTAAAGGAATGTTTACTTGAACTTTGCGAAAGGTCTCCAAAATGTCCTTTTCGCCTTCTTCCTTCTTTGATTGTGCAAATCTGCAAGGAAAAGGAACATTGGGCAGATTAGTGTTTGAAATCACAACATTTGGAACAACATTACCTGAGGTGGACGGTTTGGAAGGTGTAGATTGCTGCGGCATGGTTGGTGCCATCTTTGCCGTGGGGTGGGATTGCTCCTCTTCTTCCAATTGTAACTTCTCATCTTCCTTGTTTGGGGCAGATGCATGTGCTTTGCTTCCCACTTCTTTTCCACTTGGTAAAATGATGGCTTTTGCAGATTCAAAACCACCCTTTGGATTGATCTCCGTAGTGCTTGGTAACTTACCACTCTCACGAAATTGTCCCAAAAATTCGGCCATTTGGCCCATTTGCTTCTTGAGCTCATTCACCTCCTTTGCTTGATTCTGCATTCCCTGCGCCATTGTGGTTAATAATTGATACGTTTTATCATCATTCATGGACATACTTGAGTTGGTTTGGGATGATTGTGCTTGAGGAGGTGGTTGTGGTGCCATTGGCCTCGGGAAGAAACCCGGGGGTTGTCGGAATCCACTTTGTTGGGCAGGTTGTTGTGCATCCCTCCATCTGAAATTGGGGTGGTCACGCCATCCCGGATTGTATGTGTTAGAGAAAGGATCACCCCTTGGTTGGTTTGGATTCCCATAACCCACGGCATGGGCAGATTCCCACCCTCCATTTTCAATTAATTGAGGGCATTGATCAGATTGGTGTCCTTGAATGGAACATACACCACACATTGTAGTTCCTTGCGGTTTGGGGCCTTCAACAAACTGTGACAACATGGACGTAAGGTTAGCCATTTGGGATTGTAATTCAGAAATAGAACTTACCTCATTGACATGATGTGGCCGTGGGGCATCTCTTTGCCCAACTCCTTCATATTGTTGTGCGTTGAGTGCGCGATTAGCAATGAGAATTTTGGCATCCATGGGTGTCTTATCTACTAGAGCTCCTCCCGCGGATGCATCCAACATTTGACGTTCAATTGGTAAGAGCCCTTCGTAGAAATATTGAAGAAGAAGCTCCTCCTTCAATTGGTGCTGTGGACATGAAGCAATAAGGGTTTTAAAACGTTCATAATAAGTTGGGAAAGATTCACCTTGGTTTTGCTGAATTCCACTAATCTTCTTGCGAAGAAGAATGATTCGTGATGTTGGAAAGAACTTCTCTAAGAAAGCTCGTTTCATACTTTCCCATGATGTGACAGTGCCAGGAGCCAACTCGTACAACCAATCCTTGGCCTTTTCCAACAAAGAAAAAGGAAAAGCCTTCATCTTCAATATGTTGCTATCCACGTTCACCGGTGTCATACTTGAGCATACGACTTCAAACTCCTTCAAATGCTTATTAGGGTCCTCCATTGATAACCCATGGAACTTGGGTATATGATGTAGCAAACTGGACTTCAATTCAAATTCATCGGTCTTCTCAGGGGCTGCCCTAGGGTATTGGATGCAAAGAGGGGCTGCATTGTCCAAACCCGAGGCGGAAAGCTCCTTGATGGTTCGGTTGTCTACTGCCATGGTTGGTACTTCTTCTTCACACCTTGCCGTGGGCTCTTCTTTAACCTCCACTTCTTGCTCTTTGATTTCAGGTTCGGAACTAGAAGGATTAGATGCTTGTAGTTTCCTTTCTCTCCTCAAAGTCCTCTCAAAATCGTCGTTAAAGTCGAATATATTCTCACGAACAGGTTGTGAGCTACGAGTCATAAACTAGTACCTGCACACAAGAGCAAACAAGATAAGTAACACACTTAAAAGACTCGGCACAAGTAAGAAAACAATAGGCCTATACACGGCACAAAAACAAACACACACACACGGTGCAAAAATATAAAACAAAACAGAAACTAAACAAATTAAACAAGACTCAAGACAAGGGATTAGCAACTTTGCTAATCCCCGGCAACGGCGCCAAAATTTGTTGTGAAAATTACTTGACACACAAATTAAACCCTATTTGTGACAATTGTAGTAATGAAGTAAGTAGAGATCGTTCTAACCGGGGATTAACTAGGGGTGCTAAAACCTCTAAACTGACTTAGAAACACAAAAAATAAACTTAAAAACGTTTGAAAAGACTCAAGGGACTCAAAACAGATTCACAAGACTCAAAACAAGCTAAAAACTCTCAAAACTGTCTAAAAACACAAACTGGGCAGTTTTGACACTAAACTCAACTTTGGACGAAAATTAGGTTTAAGCTTAACTCAAAATGCTTCAAAACACAAGATAAGACAGATTCTAAGCCTAAGACTTAACAAAATAGGGGGGGGGGAATTTGTGTTTGGACGAAATTCAATTAAATGGACAGATTGTAAAGAAAACAGATTGTAAAGCAAATTGATGTAAACCAATGGATAATGGAATGGCTAAGGGATTCTTCTCCACACATGAAATATATGCAACTTAAATCAACTTCCAGTTATCGATTCAACAAGTTATGAACCTCGACACTCCAAGTTAATTAGGTCCGCTTAAATTAACCTTAAGATTTCCCTAAGATCATTGAATTGAATGAATATGCATTGCAACCAAATTATTCCTAACAAGTTCTCTATATGAACAGCATGATAAAGATACAAGTTAGAATCATTACGTTCATTGGAAATCATAAGCATCGACAAGGCAATTGTAACTATGAAAAGCATGATACTTTCGCCAGGAATCTACTTAACACGATCATGACTAGTGACCTTCACTACTTGTGGATATAAACTCATAACGATTAGGTGAAACAAATTCATATCCTAGCACCAGATTCAAGCATGCAAATTAAGTGTGCACTCTCAATCAACATACAAGAATAAGTTCTAAATCACATAGTTAAACAGATTGTATTCATGACTTATGCAACGATAACTGGAGTAATCAACTTATTTCACATATATATCCATGGTTTCGAATACACCCTTAGCCAAAAACGAATTTAGCCAATCATACTCAGAGCAAAACAGAGATTACATGAATTAGACATTGAAATATAAGAGAGAATACACCTAAAATCGTTCAACAGCTCAGAATGGAGAACCAAACAATTTTGCGCATCTGTCTCCTTCCTCTTGCTTGCGGCAGATTGGATGGGGATGAATTCTGGGACGTTTTGATGATGTAGAACGGTTTGTGGGATGTTTAGAGACACGACAAGGGATGTAGGATGGGTGTGGATGAGTGTTTGATGGTTGGGAAGTGGTGGAATGGCTGATTGTATCTCTAGGTTGAAGAATGGTGTTTTGGGGTCAATGGATGCGGCTGGAATAGAATGGACGAATTTTGATGATGAATGAGTGATGTGAAGGGTTTGTGAAATTTCTGAATGCCTTTGTGATGCTTGCAGCTGCCTTATTTATAGGGCTAGGAAGGGTTTAGAACTTAGTTGAAACCAAAAGGTTTTGTACTAGAAATTCTATACATGAAACACTTAAAGGATATATGTGTGTAGCTTGGACAAGGTAGGAGACAAGATAGGACGGCTAGGAGACAAGGTAGGACGGCTAGTGACAAGGTAGGACGGCTAGGAGACAAGGTAGGACGGCTAATGACAAGCTAGGACGGCTAGGAGACAAGCTAGGACGGCTAGGAGACAAGGTAGGACGGCTAGTGACAAGCTAGGACGGCTAGTAGACAAGCTAGAAATTAGGCACCATGTGTGAATAGATAAAGCCTTAAGGTTTTTAGGCCCCCTTGCAGCTCCCTAACTGAATTCAAGCCTTCAAATTCGTCCATCCTCATGCCTCCATGCTTGCACTATCCAATCTTGGCCCAAAAATGCTCTAGAATGCTCCAAATTGCTTCTTTTTGCATACTTTGATAAACAAAGGGCAAGTGTAAGTCATCTTTTCCTCTATTTTGTAGATTTTGTCTCTGGGTTTCGCACAAAGCTAGCATCTTGGTTAATTTTCTGACTATGGTTTCTTGTAGGCTGGTGGTCATACTCTTAAACATCATTATCATATACGTGTGAGTCAGGGGCAGAGCCAATTAAGGCTTAGAAGGGTTTCTCACTAACATTTTGCTAAGTTAGTTGAGCTCTAAACCCTTCTCGCCTTGTAATTATTGAATTCCTTACTAATGTTGTTTGGCTTTTAATTAAATTAGGTCAAGAAAAGTTCTATACTTAACTTTTGGAATGATGATTATCAGTCTACTACATAGATATATTGAATTTATTATAAACAGTTATGAAAAATTGTGAAACACCAAAAGAAAAACAACAGAGATAATGCACAAGTAAAATGAATAAGGGATTATCCTTTAGTATTTAAGCTATATAATGTTTATGGATGTGTACCTTACCTTATTGTGTAAAATAAAATATCGTTGTGTAACAAAATGGATCTTATACTCATGTAAAATTTGGATCTACTTCAAATTTGTCATTAAATATAATTTGGTTTTTGTTAAATTTTTCATCATTTTGTATATTTTTCCTGTAACTTTCTGGGTTTTGGAGAAATTTTCGTTAAATTTCTTGGTGTTTTTTGTGTGATTTTATCTGAACTTTGTAGATTTTTTATATGTTTTGTACAATTCTTAGATTAAATTTCTGATTTTGTAAATGATAGGCCAAATTCGAATTTGAAAAACAATATATTACACCTGTGATTTGTTGTTTATGTGGTAAAAAATAGGATGTCTTTATACTCACGAAGAAGGGTGGAGGAATTTTGAGATTAGGGTAATAAACTGAAGTCTATTTCATCTGGGGACTTCCTTTGTACCAAGTATTCATATTTGGTAATATCCATTTGATTTGGGGACTTCCTTTTCTCAGAAAGAATCATATTTTATTTTATTACTTACAAAAAAGATTCATATAAAGTTGAAGCTTAGTGTATGAGAAGCAGAGAGGCAGATTGCGTGTTGAATGGCATCATGAAAATCGTTCAAACAATGTCATGAAAGAGCACTCAACCTGTCTTCAGAAGTTCTTCCAAATGATACATGCAAAACAAAAATATCAAACAAACAAAACAAGCAGTAGTTACCTTTTTGTTTCCGTAACCTTTGGCCGCTGCAGTAACGTTTTTGGGTGACTACTTCGTCACTAATCGCTTTAGTCACTGTGCAGAATAAGGGGATGGTGACACAATTGTTGCCTCCTTGTCACGATTAATTGCAGTTCGTTACGTACAAAATAAAAAGATTGAGAAATTTTGAAGGAGAAGGAAAGGCTTTGAAGGCTAAAGCTAGAAATGGAGGTGTGTGTGGGTGAACTATCAACCGGAAAGGGAAAGCAAAAGAATACCGAGACAGAGAGAGATGGGGTTTAAATAAGAGGGCAGAGTAAGGAGAGGAAGCAAAAACAAGAGTGGTAAATACATTTTTTCTTAATTAGTGGAGTGAAAAATGTCATTGTTGGGGTAAAATGCACTCACATTTCTCTCAATTTTAGTGGTAGAAAAAAATAATGTCTATGCATCATAGTACAAGTTCGATCTCCACAAATACTTTTCTCCAACAATATATTTAAACACTAAAGGGAAGCGAATAAATTGGTTACGAACTTGTTACTTCTAAAATTTGAACCGAAGATCTCTTGAAAAAAAAAAATATCACTGAACAATATTACTAAGTGACAAACCACTTTTCCTTTACCGCCGTGTCTTATAGTTATACTTAAGAAATAATGGACGACTTAGACCAACATGTGTCCGCAATATATGGGATCTAGAGTGATAATTGGTGGAGACGAAAATGACATTGTTTGATACTAATACACCAACTGCTCTCACTTTTCCTCCGCTACCGTTTCTAGTCCTTACGTAGAGAGAGAGAGAGATGGGGTTAAAATGTGAGGGCAGAATAAAGAGAGTAAGAAAAAGCAAGAGCAGTAATCAATTGCAATTAGTGGAGAGAAAAATATCATTGTTGGGGTCAAATGCACTCACATTTTCTCTTAATTTCATTGGTGGAAAGTAATAGTACTTATACATCCTGATGTGGATTTGATCTTCTCTCCCTCTAATATCGAACAATTTAACACATTAAAACTAAAGTTTCTCTAAAAAAAAAAAAATTATACAACAATATATTTACACACTAAAGATGGGAGAATAATTCGTTACAAACTTATTATCCTTGATATTCAAACTTAAGATATCTCATAAAAGAAATATCATTAAATAATATTACTAAATGGCAAACATTTTTTCCTTTATTGCCTGTCTTATATTTAAGAAAAAAATGGAAAGAGTCAGACCAACATCATCCACAACTTATTGGGTCTAGAGTGATAATTAATGGAGATAAAAATGACCTTGTTTGGTACTAATACACCAGCTGCACCCACTTTTTCTCCAATACTGCTTCAGTGCTTCTTGTCCTTTTAAAATATAAAACTTTTCTTTTCAATGTATCTTAAATTTTTTAATGAGCATATAATTTAATTCAATAAAACTAGCAATATGTACAATGAGGATTCTAGAGATCTTCAAATCATTTGTGTTCGTCGTAGATTGTGTGTGACATCCCACATCGCCCAGGGGACTGATCCTTATATGTATATTCCATCTCTACCTAGCACGAGGCCTTTTGGGAGCTCACTTGCTTCGGGTTCCGTAGGAACTCCGAAGTTAAGCGAGAAGAGGGCTAGAGCAATCTCAGGATGGGTGACCCTCTGGGAAGTTGCTCGTGAGTTCCCAAAAACAAAACCGTGAAGGAATGGTAAGCCCAAAGCGGACAATATTGTGCTACGGTGGTGGAGCGGGTCTGGGAAGTGATCCGCCCCGGGCCGGGATGTGACATTGGTATCAGAGCCTATCCCTGGCCGGAAATGTGCCGACGAGGACGTCGGGCCCCTAAGGGGGGTAGATTGTGACATCCCACATCGCCCAGGGGACTGATCCTTATATGTATATTCCATCTCTACCTAGCACGAGGCCTTTTGGGAGCTCACTGGCTTCGGGTTCCGTAGGAACTCCGAAGTTAAGCGAGAAGAGTGCTAGAGCACTTCCAGGATGGGTGACCCTCTGGGAAGTTGCTCGTGAGTTCCCAAAAACAAAACCGTGAGGGAATGGTAAGCCCAAAGCGGACAATATCGTGCTACGGTGGTGGAGCGGGCCCGGGAAGTGATCCGCCCCGGGCCGGGATGTGACATTGTGCGGCAAAAAATTATTTTAAATTAAATATGAACAGTAAGTGACAAAAACTGACTGCACAATATACGATAAACAGACACGATTTAAGTATCCTAGAATCCTCTTAAAGAGGATCCGAAAAGAATCCCCTTAAAGAGGATCCCAAGAGAATCCTCGTTCCAATATGCATGTAATATGTAGAAAAATGGCAGAGAGTTAAAACCCACTAACTGTCCATTAAACTCGTGGCATTTGAGATGAGTTAACACTGGAATTATGAGATTGGTTTATGAATTGACTTGTTGACTGGAAGTCTTCCCAGTACATTGTAGAAGAAAGCATGACGACGGGTCACATTCGCAGCCCACTAAATTGTTGAATTTGAAAATAAGAAAAGGGATAAGGTTGTTGCTGCCAAAGAGAAGCACTTGGCTATACCTGAAATGTAACTATGTAAAGTATCCCAAATAAATAAGGCCTTCTTTCTTCAAATGTGATAAAAACTTGTACGTATTTTTCATTTTGTTATATGAATTCATGTTTTTTTAAGGCCGTCTACTAGTGGCATATTTTTTTACTAGCCTAAAATTAATCATTTATTCTTAATTATGAATTCATGTTCATGTTTTTCTCTTTTAAGTGTGGTTTCGTATGCAAGACACTTGCGGCAGTGATAAGTGGAAAAACATAGCGAAGTGGAAGAAAGCGGAGATAATGGGTGGGGTAGGTTTAGTATTGTTGTCATTTGATAAAAAAAACTGCTTCTATTATGCTGTGAGAATAAGTAACTGTGAAATAAAACAGCAAAATTTTTGATAAATTTTTTAGTAAAAGTGATTTTTGGAAAGAAAAAAAAACATTATAATATTTGGTAAACTTTTATATAAAACAGTTGTGATGGTGTGAAATGATCAAAAAAAGTATAATACTAGATATTCCATTAATTTAATTTTTTTAACAAATAAAAGATAAGAAATATAATACAATAATTATCTAATATAACTTATTTTATTTATTTAGAATTTTTTATTTTAATCTCTCTTTAGAATCTAGAAGCACCGAGTCCTCGAGCTTCTCGCTCTCCTCGACGATGGCATCCCCAGGCTGCTCCTCGACATTGGTAATATTTCAAAACCCAACTCCCCCAATCTTTCAATTCAATTTTGCGTAAAAAATCCAAAAGGGGTTTGATTTTATTCACTGAAATGGTGAAAAAAGTTGAGTGAGTGATTGAGGTTTTCACTGTAGGTTGTGGGTCAAGGCTCAGCGGAGACACATTGTCAGAGAGTGGGCATCAGTGGATTGGTTTGGATATTTCCCAGGCGATGCTTGGTATGTGTTTTTATTTTGGGGTTTTGTTTATCGTTTTCGATTTGGTTTTCAGCTTCTTGATTGCTTGTTTGTTCTAAATCGGAATTTCATTTATTTGATGACTGGAGATGTGGCATTGGATCCGATATGATCATCTCTCTCATCTATTCCGACTGATTCTCACTCGGATTCCGGGTTGAAGAGGGAAGATTGCAAGCAGGAATCTTTTTCTCGCTCGGATTCTGGATTGGTTCTTGCTCGGATTCTAGGTTGATTCTCGCTCGGATTTTGGATTCGATGCAATCGGCAAATTTTCAAAAATGGTTTCTCAAAAAGATTGAATCTTTTTCTTATGTGTGTATTTGGAGGATCTGGAAGGAGAATAGGGATGAATGGTGGTGGTCGGTGTTGAGTGGGAGTGGGCGGGAAGGCTGCCGTCCTACTCTGATGCGAGGGGGTGAACGGGTTTGAGAGATTCCAGTTTGAGTATTAAGGACAAGGCCTGTCATTTTGTAAAAATGACGAGGGTGTTATTGGACTTTAGAAAGTTTCATTAAAGGTGTACTGTAGCTTAGCGTCCTTCAACTTTTTTGATGATTTTTGTTGTCAATCACCACACAGCTTTTCTGATGATTTCTGTTGTCAATCACCACAGCTCCTAAAATAATCTTTTTTTTTTTTTTTTTTTTTTTGAAGTTTACCAAACACCTTCAACATAAAAACTTAAAAAATAAGCAGCTATTTTTTTAAGCACTTCAATGCCGAATCCGGGCTCAATCACACCCTGTGCCAACAGTGGTAAGTGGCTTTTCTCACTTGCCATCCATGGAAGGATAGCTAGTAATTAATTTAAAATGCAATCAAAACAAGTTAAAGCTCCTAATCTCTGCATAAATCCTTGCTACTTTGTTCTCTAAGCAGTTGTTGAAAGTTTTCTCCAAATCAACTATAGGGGGAAAGCCAATTCCATTAATATATGTTGCTTTTGAAGGTTGGGATTTTTTTGGGGCTGGCGGGCATCGACCATTCTCTGGTCACATTAATCTAGCCTCTTTATCTGTAGGTGCTGTTGAAGTTGCTTCTTCCGATTTTTCTTTGCTTTTGGTTTTGATTGGCTTCACTGAGGTTAAATCCATCTTGATGACTAAAATCAGCTAAAACGTACACTACTGAACAACAAACAAACGCACGGAGGCAATTGAGATGCAAAGTACGTAGCCAAGGAAATTAAAGGTGGTTTTGTTGAGACCAATATTAAGGCCTATATTTATACTAGTGTGTTCATCGGCTGTTTCTAACTTTTCTCACTTGCCAGCGGCTGTTTCTAGCTTCTCTCCATTGCCCAACGGCTGTTCTGGGTTTTCCAATGGCTTTATCTAGCGTTGGCGCACCCTGTATATAAATAAATATAGGGTGTGGTTTACATGCCTATTTTCTGATTAAGTTTCATGTTCTTATGGAATAGGAAAGTACACCTTCATTCCTTTTTCAATATATGTTCTAGGATTCCTAATCTAATGATTCTAATTGTACAAGGAAACTTTGATTTTTTTTCCTAGCCAGATTGCATGGGAAACGCATGCAGTGGCCGCTACGTATTCAGCCTCACAGGTAGATAGTGTGATAATAGGTTGCTTCTTTGACATTCATGTGAATGTAGTATCTCCCATGAAGAACACAAATCCAGTAGTGCTTTTTCTATCGTCGGAATATCTTGCCTAATCACTGTCGCTATATCCAGCAAGTTTGTAGTTATCAGAACTTGAATAGAACAAGCCAAAGTTAACAGTACCTTTGAGGTATCAAAGAAGTCTTTTGGCGACCTTCAAATGTGTAGTTGTGGGATTCTCCATGTAGTGACTGACTAATCCGACGACATAGAGAATGTCTAGTCTTGTGCAAGTCAAGTAGCGCAAACTTCCAACTAGACTTTTGAAAAATGTTGGATCTACGCCTTCTCCTTTGTCATGCTTGGTTAGTTTAACTTCGCATTCCATTGGCGTGCTTACGGGCTTGCAGTTGTCCATTTTGAACTTTTTCAGTATCTCCTCTATGTAGCTTTCTTGGAAGATGAAAATGCCTTCTTCGTTTTGCTTGACTTCAATGCCTAGGTAGTATACCATTAACCCGATGTCGGTCATCTCAAATTCTTTGGTCATCACTCTCTTGAACTCTTCAAACATGCTTGGATTACTTCCGGTGAAGATTAGATCATCCACATATAAGCACAAAATCAAAATATATCCATCTTTGACTTTGACATAGAGAGCATGTTCATGAGGGCACTTGATGAAGTTGTTCTCTTGAAAGTACTTGTCGATGCGCCTATTCCATGCTCGTGGCGCTTATTTTAATCCATAGAGGGCTTTCTTCAGCTTCAGAACTTTGTCTTCATGCCTTTTGATTTCATAGCCTGACGGTTGCTGAATGTAGACTTCTTCTTCAAGGACTCTATTTAGGAATGCGAACTTCACATCCATTTGTTGAATCTTCCATTTGTTTTGAGCTGCCAAAGAAATTAGTAATTGTATAGTTTCCAAACGAGCAATGGGTGCAAATACCTCATCATAGTTGATTCTGGCTCCTTGACTATAGCCCTTCGCCATTAGTCTTGCCTTGTATCTTTCGACCTCTCCATTGGCATTTTTCTTTGTCTTGTACACCCATTTGACTCCAATGGCTTTGTGTCATTCCGGAAGAATAGCGAGTTCCCATGTGTCAGTCTTTTGGATTGCTTTAATTTCTTCATCCATTGCTTTCCTCCACTTAGTATCTTGCATTGCTTCTTGGAAGTCGACTGGTTCACAATCAGCAAAGAGACAGAAAAGTGTAGGATTATCAAGTTTTTCAGACACCTAATAGAGATCTCGTATGCTTCTTGTGCGTGGTACTTCTCTTTCATTTAGACTCCCATTTGACGATGCTGATGCTAGTGAATTACCATGATTGGTTGATGTTGGTAAAGCAAGTGGAGTAGTGGATTCTTGTTGAACCTCTTTTGCTTGCTCCATCATCCCTTGTCCATTCTCTTCTTCAAACTGAGGAAAGAAGTGAAGATCATTTGCATGCGGGCCAAAATCCCATTCTCCTTCTTCATCGAACGTCATGTCTCGACTGACCGTCTTTCCATTGTTCAGATTATACAGCTTATATCCTTTTGAATTTGTGTCATAACCGATGAAGATTAACTTCTCATTTTTGTCATCAAGTTTGCTTCTCCTCTTGTCTGGTACATGTACATAGGCCATGCTTCCAAAAACTCTTAGATAAGAGATACCTGGTTTTTTTCCACTCCATGCTTCTTGAGGAGTTTTTCCCCACACGCTTCTTGTTGGAGACCAATTGGATAGGTAGACAGCACATGCTACAACTTCTGCCCACAATTCCTTAGGCAATTTCTTGCTTTTGAGCATGCTTCAAGCCATGTCGAGGATGGTTCGATTTTTTCTTTCCGCCACACCATTTTGTTGAAGGGATCTTGGAACTGTCAAAGGTCGACGAATTCCATTTGCTTCACAAAACTCTTGGAATTCCTTCGAAGTGAATTCTCATCATCGATCAGATCTCATGGCTTTGATCTTGCAACCACTCTCTTTTTCTACGACGGTTTTGAACTTCTTGAATGCTCTAAATACCTCTAATTTCTGCTTCAAGAAATACACCTAGGTTTTCCTTGAAAAATCATCAATGAAGAAAAGGAAATAATTATTTTTACCCAAAGAGCTTGGTTTTATTGGACCACACACATCGGTGTGAATGAGCTCGAGTGGCTTCTGGGCCCTTGTGGTCGACTCTTTTGGAAAGCTTTTCTTGAACTGTTTCCCAAGTAAACATCCTTCACAAACTTGATCAAGGTGGCTGATGCACGGTAAGCCTCTCACCATCTCCTTCTTGTATAATAACTCCAGTCCCCCAAAGTTAAGATGCCCAAAACGAAGATGCCAAAGCCAAGATATGTCGTTGTAACATATCTTGAGACACTTTGCAACATCGTTTTGAATGTTCATGGGAAACAACCTATTCTTTGACATTTTCGCCTTGGCAATTAATCTTCCTTTGTCATCTTTAAGAAAAAGGCTATAATTTTTCGTATGAAAATCATAACCTTTTTCTAAGAGTTAACCCAAACTCAAAATGTTGCTTTTCATATTGGGCACGTAATAGACATTTGAAATTGATTGGTGACCGCCATTTTTTAGGGGAATAAGGATGTTACATTTTCCTTTTACAGGTATTTTGGATTCGTCTCCAAAAGAAACGTTGCCACTCACTGATTCATTGAGCTCTACGAAGATGCTTCTTCTTCCGCACATGTGGTTGCTGGCGCCGGTGTCAAGGTACCATGTATAGTCTTGGTTTTCATCATTGTTCTTGCATGCTAGTAGCACAACGCCATTCTCTTCTTTCTCTTCCACATAATTGACTTTCTCATCAAGTCTGCTGTTTGGAGCTCTACATTCCAAAGCATAATGCCCAAACTTTTGACAATTGTAGCATTGAACTTGAGATTTTTCATACCTCAAGTTTAAGCATCCTCTTCCACAACCTTTTGTTAAGCTTCCTCCTCTTTCGTAGTTGCTATGGTTGTTGAAGTTCTAACCATGTCCACGTCCATGTCCATGTCCGCAACCTCGGCCACGACTTCTTTCGTATTGGCTTCTCTCGTTGTCGAAGCTTTCTTCTTTCTTCTTTGGCTGAACATGTGTCTTAAGGAGCTGCTCATCCTTCCCTTGCCTCTTTTTATGTTTCTCTTCATATGCTTGTAGCGAACCCATTAATTGCTCTATACTAATTTCTTCCAAGTTTTTAGTTTCTTCAATCGTCATGACAATGTGCTCGAACTTGGGGTCCAACGAGCGTAGTATCTTCTCCATAATTCTAACATCTTCTAACTTTTCTCCATTTCTTTTTAATTGATTGGAAACGGCTAAGACTCTTGAGAAATAATCAGAGATTGATTCAGACCCTTTCATTTGTAGAGATTCAAACTCACCTCTTAATACTTGAAGACGAACCTTTTCCACTTGTTCGGCTTCTTTGTAAGAGGTTTGAAGCTTGGCAGAGGTTGCACTCAAGACCTTCTCAAAGCCATTGTCATCTAATGCTTGGTAGATGAGGTAGAAAGCCTTCTTGTCTTTCTTGAATCTTTCAAACTCTCATTCTAGGGTTGAGACAGAGTAGCTTCATCTTCTGGCTCAATGTAGCCTTTCTCCACGACTTCCCAGACATCGTGTGCACCCAAAAAGGCCTTCATTTTGATACTCCAATTATCGAAGTTGTTGTTGTCGAGCACTGGAACTTAAAAGGCTGCCATAGCGTTGTTAGCCATAGCTCAGATACCACTTTGTTGGGGTTTAAAAATGTTTGACTACTTTGGAGATGTTTATCTTACAAAGGAGAATGTAATGTAGCGGAATTTGATAGGCAAGAGAAAAAAAGAACACTCAAAGTGTTACACAAATTTTTTATTCTCACACAAACTTAGTACAAGAGGAAACACTCAAACACTCTCACACTTCTTCACTCTTTTTCTCACTTCTTGCTCTCTTGATTGTTACTTTCTTCTTAATTGATACAAATGGTGTGGATGCCTTCTCCTTTTATAGGCATGGATGGAGCCTTGGAGAAGCATGGAAACATCATTCTAGAGATATCTAGATCATTCCACTACCTTCCTAAGCTAGAATTATCTACACTAATCTTGCATGTTAGTGGAATCCTCACCATTCTTCTAAACTCTTCCACCAACTTGAACTTTGTTAGAACTCTCTAGCATGTGCATAGATCTTTCTTTGTGTATGGGCCGAATCAATTGTCTTGGGCCAAGACAAGATTACAATTCAACAAAGCTTCCTCAGAAAAACACCTGATTGTAATATAGCCTAAGCCTCAATGATGAACACAACAAAATGATTTCCGGAAGCCAAACGAAACTTGACCTACTAAAATCATCTTTTCTTGAAACCATACTTATTCCATTCATAGAACAGATCCGTTTTGGCACTTCCCAAATCATGAAACTCAATTAGCTTTCGAGAGCCCCTTGGATGCTCCTGCATCAACTGATAACACTACTACAAATTCAAAAATTTCATGACTAACTCAATATGCAAATCTGCATAATTTCAACACTTTCATGCCAAATTGCAGGGTATTTATATTCACAAATCATGAAATTTACGCCAAACCGATCAGCTACGAGCATTTGCAAACTCATTTACAACTACGCACAAAAATAATAAAAGTGGTTTGCTTTTGTTACAAGAATTCATCAAGAGTACGAACTAACAAAGAATGCAAATTCAATAAAATGTGCAATTTCATCTTCAATGAAAACAGTTCATTGACCCATAAGTACAAAAACAGAAAAACCCACAAAAATCCAACTTTTTTATTCCTTTTTTAATTTCTAATTACTCTTTCAACTTCTGGGCGCTAACGATATTGCCTGATTCCCATCACAGAAAACAAATTTTGGGATTTAAAAAGGCTGTGTAAATGGATGAAACGATTCATGAATTGAACAGAAAAGGAACCCTAAAACAGGTAATCGAATGCATAATAAAACTAGTCACTTCCGCTATAAACTTGAATTTCAGATGGAAAAAATTCAAAAGTAAGCAGCAGTTTCTACATACGCGAAAGCTAGATAGGAAGAACGAGTAGCTAAAGGACCAATGCTTACGGAAGATAGTTGGAGAGAAATCAGATCAAGGGCTGCTACTGTATGAGAGATGAAAGCACAAATGGGGGGACTGGTGCGACTGGGGAAGTAGGGCTCGGCTGACGGAGAGAATCGAATAGGGCTAATGTTTTGTTTTCTTTTAAGTTTCAATTAAAAATTCATACAACAATTTCAATTTCTTTAATTTTTTTTCTTATTTAATATTGAGTAGATGATTTTCGCCTAGCCTGACTTTTTACTCTTTTTAATTTTGACAGCCAAATCTATAAATCAACGGACAAGATTTAACAAGTTTTGTGAAAATTAAGAAGTGTTTATGTTCATAACTTCATTTTTATCAAAATGGCTTTATATAATTTTATAAAAAAACACATAATGAATTACTATAAATAAAAATGACAAAAACATGAGAGCAGTGGTGATAGTATCATACATGAGTTTAGTTTGGGTGCAGTAGATGTATCGTAAATAAGTTAAAGTTTAGTATCATCGACAACTATTTCTTCATAAAATTTGTAATTGTCCTTATGATTAAAAAAAAAGTTCATTAGATATTTTTGGATAAAATAAGTTTGTGAGGCTTTCTTCATTAGTCTTAAAAAAAAAATTATTTTTATGGTAGGAGGGTAAATTGGCACGTTTTGATACGACTCAAAAACTAAAATGAAGGTTGTAAAAATAGAAAGAAGGTCAAAAGTTAAGCTTAGTTAGTAAAAGGTATACAATGTGAAAACGTGTATAACCTTACTAAAATTATACTTGGAAATTTTGGGAATTTTTTTAAAATTGTAATATTATTTAATCAATAATATGGGTAAAATGCATGAATTTATATACATTTATTAAAAAAAGGTGTGAAAATAACATGTTTTAAACGTGAAAAATATGTATCATACGTTGGAGTTTTAAAAAAAGCTTACAATTAAAAAATCATTAATACGTGTACGGAAAACAAAACTTAATATAATACATACGTACATATACAATAAAGATATTATGCGCATATTTATAAACTGTGAAGTTAAGTGACAATGCTAAAAAAGTGAAGTTAAGTGACAATGCTAAAAAATTTCAGAATTATTGTTGACAGGTTTTTTTTTTTTTTTTTTAGAAACTCACACGAGAACTTCCCAGTGGATCACCCATCATGGGAATGCTCTAGACCGAACTCGCTTAACTTCGGAGTTCCTACGGAACTCGAAGCTAGTGAGCTCCCAAAAGGCCTTGTGCTAGATGGAGATGGGAATATACATATAAGGCTTACAGGATCCACTCCCCTGGACGATGTGGGATGTTACAATTTCGTTCTTTTCTAATAAAACATATTGTAAGAAATGTTAGCAATTTTCATATCAAATTTAATGTTTTGTTTTGTTTTATACAAGCGATTTTATGGAGTGGATAATTGATCCTAGGATTTCAACTATAACCGGAAAAATGCTCCTAACTTATGCGTCCCTTTCAATCCAAACCCTTTGCACTAAAACTTAACGTTTAGCTCACACCATCACTCAACTTTCTGCTTCTCTTTTACAAGGGAAAATTTGTTTTATGTTTTCACTTATGAATATGGCAAAATAACAATTTTAGATCACAATAACAACAAATACCGAGATAAAGAAAAATGGAACTAGCAATGTTGTTACTATCCACCTTCTCTCTCACACTACTAAGACCATTTGCAATTTCTACTTTATGCAGAAGTTAGCCATTCAACAAAGAACATAAAAATAAAAAATAAAAATTATCCAACAAAAACCGCTTATCATTAAAATTCTGAAAAGCACCACACAAATTAAAATCCGAAAGCTTCAAGTCATATAAGTAAACACACCACAAACATCTACGAGACAAAATTCAAAGCGATAGCAAGAGAAAGAAAGCAAAAATAGAAAGAAAATTTTGGTGAGTAGAGAGTGGAAAATATTATTGATGAGTGAACATGTCCTTTCTCCTTTGAGCAGCATGCTTTGTCCTTCACAAGTCTTCTTAAACTTTGAGGTACGAGTCTCTGATTGCGCTCATTTTTCTAACAACTGTGTCCATCAGTATTCGCTCCCTCGGTGACATTGCACAGCAAGAGAGTCCTATATGCATCATTGAAACCAAGCATTCCTTTAATTTCTTTGCTTTCACCGGCCCACAATTGTTACGTCTAGATGGAGTTCGTTCTCGCACTATGTCATCGTTGACATCACCATTTGTTTCAAGGTCGAGGATAATTGAATGGTCAACAATGTCCATGACATGGCCAGGCAAAGCCATGGCTACGAATTGGCAAATGCTTAGACTGCCTTTGAACATGTCATCAGTAGGCCTTTTTCCTATAAACATTTCCAGCAATAGTATCCCATAGCTGTAAACATCTCCAAGTATGGAAACTTGGCCTCCTGTGCCATACTCTACTAGGACATACATACAATATGTCAAATGCAATGGACTATTAGAACAATATCTTCTTTGGATTTATAAGTTACTTATTTACAAAGAAAAAAAAAAGAACCAGTAATGTATTTTTCATAACTAGAGATTAATTAGTTGGTTTTTAGTAATAATTTACTAAGAACATAAAAAGGAAGTTAGAATGACAGAAACTCGTACCAGGAGGAATGTAGCCTACAGAACCCTTTAGCTGAGATGACATTGTTTGACTGAATGAGGGATTATTTGATGTTTCGAATAAGAACCTTGCTAAACCAAAATCTCCAACATGGGCTACCATATCTTCATCAAGAAGTATGTTGCTCGGCTTTAGATCACAATGAACAATGGCCGTTTCACAATGGTGGTGGAGATAATCTAACGCAGAAGCAACATCTATGGCAATGTTCAATCTTTGCATAAAACTCAATTTTTTACTTAGAGATTCCTCCTCATATCTTGGATACAACATTGAGTCTAGACTTCCATTTTCCATGAACTCAAAAACTAGACTTTTGAAGTCCTGGCCCTGATTATCAATGCTTGAGCATGCAGTTATGATCTTGAGAAGATTACGGTGCCTTATACTCCTTAAAACTTTGCATTCATCTATGAAACTCTTGGAAGCTCCTTGTTGTTGAAGGTTGAATACCTTAATAGCAACTACCGTTCCAACACTAGAAATTATCCCTTTATAAACAGAACTAAAACTTCCCGAACCAATTAGATTATCCACAGAGAACCCATTAGTTGATTCAACGAGTTGTGAGTATGAGACACCTGATTTCCAATCCTTATAAGAACGTGAACTTGCAAGTCTATCTCTAGACTTTTTCGACATTGAACAAGCACCAAAGAGGCCTGATAGAGCAATTATGATTGCAAGTGCACATGTTATAGGGATGACTACTTTTGGGGAAAGTGGTCCTCGAGATGAATGGTGCTTTTTTGGGTGGCATGAAGGTAAATATAATTGTGGGATGCCACCACAGAGCCTATGATTTCCAACAACAGAGACACCACTGACATTTGCAAAAATACCTTTTTTAGGCAACTCGCCCTCAAAATCATTGTATGAAAAATTGAGATACTTGAGAGCACCAAGCTTGCCTATGAATTCAGGAATCTGCCCAGACAAGTTGTTGCTTGAAATATCAAGTCTTTCCAAGCCTTTTAAATCTTTAAGAGATTGAGGAATTGTTCCTTCAAACTTATTACCTTGCAAATGCAAGCGCTCCAAACTAGCACAACTGCCAAGGTTGCTCGGGATTTCACCTGATAAATTGTTTCTTAATACATTTAGCTCTGTGAGATGCACTAAATCACCCACTTGAAGGGGCAGCGAACCAGTCAAATAATTGTCAGACAGGTCTAAAGAAATTGAAAGGGTTGAAAGCTCCATAAGGGTTTTAGGTATGGTGCCCGTAAGGTTGTTGCTTGAAATGTTAAGATCTAAAATGTTTCGGTAGTTTCCAAGACTTGGAGGTATATTACCCTCAAACCTGTTGAACTCCATGTGGAGGTATAACAATGAAGTCATGTTACCAAGGGAAGACGGGATTGACCCAGAAAATTCGTTACTACGCAAAGACAGTTTCTCTAACTTCTCTAGCTTCCCAATTTCATGCGGGACACTACCGTCCAAATGGTTATTTTCTAAGTGTAGAGCGGTCAAGTTTATAAGGTTTCCAATGCCGTTAGGGAGGCTTCCATGTATAAAATTTTCCCCCAGTGTGAGATACTTAAGTTGGGTCGAAAGGTTGGCTATGGATCCTGGGATTCCTCCTCCAAAATTATTATCACTAAGTGCCAAAACCTCCAAACTAGTGCAATTAGCCAAGAAACTGAGAAAACTCAAGTCACCAACTTTTCTATTTCCTAATTGATTGACTTCCATGGTTAGCTTCAATAAGCTTTGCAAGCTTCCTACACTTTCACCAGGGACTGTCCCAGATAGGCCATTTACAGAAAATTCAAGAATCTGAAGTCTAGAAGCATTTGACAATGATAAAGGAATATTTCCTGTGAATTTGTTCTCATTGCAGTAAAATTCTACGAGATCAGGAAGCATAGTGCCGAGATTTGGTGGTAGCTCTCCATGCAACTGGTTGACAGCAACACTGAAAATTTGTATGGAAGAAACATTATAGATTGAAGAAGGGACCATACCAGACAAATTATTCATCTCAACTATGAATTCCACCAAGCCTGTTATATGCCCCAGCTCATTTGGTATGCTTCCTTGCAAATTGTTGCTCCCAAGATAAAGGAAGCGCAAAGAAGAAAAGTTTCCTATCCACGGTGGGATGGTTTCAATGAGACTGTTACCATAAAGCAACAGACATTTTAAATTCAACAATGAACTGAGTTGGTTGGGGATGGACCCCTTAATCCGATTGTCTTGTAGATCAAGCATTTTTAGTTGTGTGCATTGTGACAAATTAGTTGGAATTACCCCACGGAAGGAATTATAAGAAAGGTTGAGATATTGTAGGCTTTGTAGACGACCCATTTCTGGAGGAATTTCCCCATGAAAGTTGTTGGCTCCCAATTTGATTCCAGTAAGATAAGTAAGATTTCCAACGGAAGGAGGAATGGAGCCTACCAACTTTTGAGATTCCAGGTTCAACATCAAGACTCTTTTGGTGGAACGGTGGCAAGAAACCCCAACCCAGCTGCAGAAATGGATGGAATGATTCCACGAGCTCATGACATCCAAAGGATCTGCAGTTATTCTTTTCTTGAAGTCTAGCAGAGCCAAGCGATCACATTCATTTCCAAGCAGAGTAAGGCTACGAAGTGCTGTAGATTCGAGGCAGGTGGTCATGCATAAAAGAAAGAACGCATGCAGGAATTTGAACAAAACCAGCTTACAGTTGGTACATGAATGGTCCATCGTTGTTCTAAGACAGAGAGCAAAACAAGTTAATTAACGAAGTTGAATTTGCATAAATGCATAAAAGAAAAGAAATGCTATCGCATAGAAGAAACGCTTGATTCAACATGTTTACAAAAAAATGAGATGGAGACTGTAAGGACCAAGCAAGAATAATAGAGCTCCACCCTGCCGTACATCTTACAAGGAATGGAGGAGATTTTTCAAATGGTTGGGGTGGGGTAACCTTATGAATTCTTAATTAATCTTTTGGCCACACAAAAGTCAGTCACAAGTAACATTTAGAAGGAAAAGTTTAAAGAAAATTTGGATTATTAACTAGATTTGGAAGAAAAAATTTAATTTAAACTAAAATTGAAATACTGTTCATAAGGGCAATGTTTTTCAAATTTTGGCCCTAGCTCTGTTTATGTTACTACGCCTCTGCCTCTGCCTCTGCCACGCCTCTGATCGTCGTTCTCTTTCTCTCTTTCTCTCGACACCTCGATTCAGAACCCCTACCCACGAACCCAGAAACACCTCAAACAACCACCATCATCTCGATTCAGAACCCCTACCCACGAACCCAGAAACACCTCAAACAACCACCATTCTCATCCTTTCGACCTCACGAACCGAAGTCCATACCCAATCTCACTCCCCAGGTCAGATTTATACCTTGAATGTACCATTTTTTGTGATTTTATCCCTAAAACTCATGAGTTTTCTGACGTTTTTGCAACGATTTCGGCGAAGGCTGGCGTCGACTTGGTCTCAAACGATTTCTCAGCACCTCAGGTATAAAGATCTACTTCAAATTTGTGATCAATATAATTGGGTCCTAGTAAATTTTTCATCATTTTGTAGATTTTTTTTTCCTTCTAACTTTATGGGTTTTGGAGAATGTTTCGTTAAATTTCTGGGTTTTTTTCTGTGTGATTTTATCTCGAATTTAATAATTTTTTGTATGTTTTGTACAATTCTTAGATTAAATTTCTGAAGTGATAAGCCAAATTCAAGTTTGAAAAAAAAAAAAAAAAAATTATTATACCTGTTTTGTTTATGTGGCAAAAACAAACAACCACCATTCTCATCCTTTCGACCTCACGAACCGAAGTCCATACCCAATCTCACTCCCCAGGTCAGATTTATACCTTGAATGTACCATTTGTTGTGATTTTATCCCTAAAACTCATGAGTTTTCTGACGTTTTTGCAACGATTTCGGCGAAGGCTGGCGTCGACTTGGTCTCAAACGATTTCTCAGCACCTCAGGTATAAAGATCTACTTCAAATTTGTGATCAATATAATTGGGTCCTAGTAAATTTTTCATCATTTTGTAGATTTTTTTTCCTTCTAACTTTATGGGTTTTGGAGAATGTTTCGTTAAATTTCTGGGTTTTTTTCTGTGTGATTTTATCTCGAATTTAATAATTTTTTGTATGTTTTGTACAATTCTTAGATTAAATTTCTGAAGTGATAAGCCAAATTCAAGTTTGAAAAAAAAAAAAAAAATTATTATACCTGTTTTGTTTATGTGGCAAAAATAGAATGTCTTTATACTCACAAAGAAGAGTGGAGGAATTTTGAGATTAGAGTAATGAACTACTTTGGAGCTAAAGGTTGTTGGTTGAGAAATTAATAAGATTTTCTAAGACCGGTATTAGATTTGGAATCTAAAGGTCTTCATTTAAGTAGGTTAAAAACAAAGTATATGGAGTGCAAGTTCAGTGCAAACGGAGGCTCAAATGAGTTAGGGATGAGGATTGGAGATCAGAAAGTACCAAAGAGCTACCGCCTTCGCTACCTATGATCTATCTTGCAAAAGAACGAAGAGTTGGATGGAGACCTTAATTATAGAATGCAAGCTAGATAGATGAAATGAAAGAATGCATCCGGCATGTTGTGTAGCCGTCGTATGCCATTGAAGCTCAAGAGAAATTTTTATAGGACGGCAATAAAGCCAGCAATGCTTTATGGCACAGAATGTTGGGCAGTGAAGAATGAACACGTGCATAAAATAGGTGTAGTGGAGATGAGAATGCTTCGTTGGATGTGTAGGCACACGAGAAAGGATTAGATTAGGAATGAGGATATCGGAGGTAAAGTAGGAGTAGTCGAAATTGAAGGAAAGATGAGAGAAAATCAGTTACGGTGGTTTGGACATGTGAAACGAATCCCTACTGATGTTTTGGTTAGAAGATGCGATTACAGGACAGAGGTTTATGGCTGAAGGGGTAGAGGAAGACCTAGGAAGATTTTGGAAGAGACTATAAGAAAAGACTTAGAGTACTTGGATCTAACAAAAGACGTGACATAGAACTGAGTGGAATGACGTTCTAGAATTCATATAGCCGACCTCACTTAATAAAAATGACTTTGTTGTTATTGTTGTTGTTGTTGTTGTGAACTATGTATGTGATTTATGTTGGATTAGAGAAAAAAAAAAACACAAGAAATGCAGCAATTGGAAACATGGCTGCAAGTGATAAGACCGAGTCATTGTTTTAAATAACTATACTACTTTTGGATATGTGTCTAAGGTGGTACCCCCATTCCAAGGCAAATGGGAATGCTTGACCATAGTAACCTAATGCCTTTCTTTGTTGTTTTTCCTTAATGGTTTATTGATTCCTTGTTTTTTTACTGAGTTTTTGGCAATGGATATTTTGTATTTCACAATGATTCTTTATTTGTTGTTGAGTTGCTAAAAGCAAGCAAAACCTATAAAATTGACCTTTGGGAATAAAAAGTTGCTTCATTGGTGTGTTTATACTTTTTTTATTATATCATGTGAAATGATAAGTTTAGATTCCTAAAAAGTTAGATATTAAAATAACATTAAGATGCACAATGAATAATTCGAGAGATCGTATAAGTGGTTTTGAAAGTGGTTAAACCTCCTGAGTCCTGTGCTATAAGGCCCAACCCACTATACTCATCAATATGCTAGACAAAAAACACATTTCCCTTGAAAATTCTGAGAGGAGATACATATTGTGTCCATAAAAGTCTGACGCACTATTCCTTTTCTTTTTATGTCTACCTTTATTTGTTATCTATGACCATTGCACAAGTGTTATTTCTTTTTATATTACCTTGATTGACGACAGGATAAACACTATTTGTCGTCAATTCAAGGTAACATTAGCTTCTCTTGAACCAATGCCTGCACTATTCCTTTTCTTTTTATATCTAACTTTTTTTGTTAAGAAATCATTTCACCTCCCAATTTTTTTAACATGCTTAGACTATAATAAAATGAAGTGAAGTTATAAGCTTTCTTGGGATATGCAGAAAGTATGAAAAATATGAATATCATGAAAGAAAATTGTATTGAAATTCAAAAGGTTTTATCTGCACTCAATTTTTTCTTTTTTATTTTTTTTTTTGTTCTTATGTTTGTGAAGAAATTTGAAACAAGCTCAAAGGTCTTGCACTTTTTTCTTTTCTCAATATCTTTAATTCTATATCAAATTTTATTCATAATTAATTCCCTTTGTGAATGTTGATATTCTAGTCTTATATTAGCATTGTATTATGACATTGAAATTGATTTCCCACTGGACAAGGAAACATATTCAGTTTCCTATATGGATTTTGACAGGGATTCCTCATTAGTTTTGGCTAGGATTATGTTAGATATATAGTGGCCTCTACTGTCACAGATACTAAGCTCATTATTGGACTTAAATCTATTATGAGTCGAGCATATTATTTTCTGCAAGAGAGGAAAGGTTCACTGAGTTTTGTTGGGAGTTTTTTACTATGGCATCATCTTCTGGAGCTTCTACATGTTTATCTCTTGCCCTTCTAGTTATATAAACCATATATTTGCATATATGGTGTTACAACTGCATGAATTTTAATTTAATAGTGCTAATATTTGCAAAATTTCCAACTAATGTTGGTAGGGGGGTTTAGATTTAGGTAAAAAAAAATCAACATGGCTATTAGTGAAGTCCAGTATTAAATTTTTTCCTTTTTTTTTTCTTTTATACTATTTTTTACATTTTTTAAAAATATTAGAGAATTGAAAATCTTCTAATTTCATTCATCTTCTAATTCCAACAAATCTACTTAATATCTTCTAACAAAAACTAATATAATAACATAAAGCGATCTACAGAATATACGACCTACGTCAAGTAACGAATATATGAATGTATATTATACCTATAAGCGATATTTGAAACTTAACTAAAATGTACAAAACATAATATGTGATACAGGTTGATTATAAAAAAGAATATGTCATACAGTGAATAAATACAATTAACCTGTGATATAGGTTGATTATAAAAATTAAATCTATAAATGGAGTTTAGAGCAGGAAGAAGAAGAAGAAGGCATAACAAAAAGATAAATAAGTAAGAATAAATAATCAAAGAGATATACAGAAATAATTTTAATTTTTATAGTAAATTTTATCATTAAAGAGACAATTATTGATAATAAAATAATTTTAAAATCAAGAGATTGGACTTATTTTAATAAATAATGAATTATATTTTACTCAAATACTTACAAAAAAAAAAAAAAAAAGGGATTCATATAAAGTTGAAACTTAATATTTGAGAAAGAGAGGCAGATTACGTGCTGAATGGCGTCATGAAAATTGTTCAAACAATATCATGAAAGAGCACTCAACCTGTCTTCTTAAGTTCTTCCAAATCATACATACAAAACAAAAACATCAAACAATTAAAACAAAAACAAAACAAGCAGTGGTCACCTTTTTGTTTTCGTAACCTCTGGCCGCTACAGTGACGTTTTGGGTGCCTACTCTGTGACTAATCGCTTTAGTCACCGTGCAGTCACGAGACGAAAAGGCTTTGAAGGCAAAAGCAAGACCAAAGGACTTTGAAGGCAAAAGCTAGAAATGGAGGGTGTGTGTGGATTGTGGACTATTAATTGGGCAGGGGAAGCAAAAGAATATGCAGAGAGGTGGGGTTTACGTGTGAGGGCAGAGTAAGGAGAGGAAGCAAAAGCATCAATATATATACACTTTAAGCAAGTGACTCTTTACCACAATGGTGGAAATGTGTTAAGCTCTTGCATGACGTGAGTTCAAATTCCGTTAGTGGCTAATCTAATATCTAATATAACAAAATTCATCATTTGACAAAAATACACGCACACACACACTCTAAGATCTACTCCAACCCTTGAAGTAAAACTCAAATTTTAGGTTTCATATATATGTATTTTTTTTAGTTTCATATTTATAATTTCATTAAATTTAACGGTTAAGATCTAATATGATTAAATATAATGGTAAAAAAAATATCTAACGGTCCAAATTTAAATCTGATGGCTAAAATAATTATTTTTATGTGTTTCATATTCTTTTTTAGTGTTCCACGAGTTTCATGGTGTCGGTTTAGTAATTTTTCAATATTAATTGGAATCTAAATATTTTTAGGTTAAAATGTTTATAAAATTAAATTATGATAGTTTACATAATTTTTTTTTAAAATTACTTTAAGGAAAAAATTATCATAAATTCCTTCTTTAAAAAGTTTACATAATTTCTTTTTAAAATTGATTCTTTAATAATCTCAAGTTAAAAATTTAACCCAGAAGGGTTAGAACATAAAAACTATTTGTGGGCTAAAACATAAATTTTCTGGGTTAAGAATTTTAGGTTTAATCCAAAAGCTGAAGATGGTCTAAAGGATGGAGAATAAATTGGCTACGAACTCATCACTCTGGAGATTCGAACCTAAGACCTCTTGTAAGAGAAATATCACAAAACAATATTACTAAGTGACAAAAGATTTTTCTTTTAATATACCTTGAGCTTTATGAGTTAACCAACGTAATCTAAGTCTAGCACTAAACGAGTCATTAAAAGAGGGGTGGCCGAGGACTTGGAATAAAGCAATCATCAACTCGGAAATTTCCATGAGAAGTAGTGGAAATGGATTATAAATTCATGTTCATGTTTTTCTCCGTTAATTGTGGTCTGGTTTGAAAAACATAGCAAAGTGGAAGAAAGCGGCGACGATGGGTCGCATTGACTCACACCCCACTAAGCCAATACCATAGTGCTCTTGGGTGCCTTTCCCATCCTAATACCTATGATATATATATATATATATATATATATATATATAATTATATATATATATAATTATATATAATTATTTGATTTGGGACTGGGTGCAGTATTTCAATCTAATAAATGCTCTGTCATGTAATTTTTGCTCAAATTAAATTCTTGTGATTGGTTGTTCAGACATGAAATAAACATAGACTTGAAAAATGGGAATAATGTAAAGGACTGTTGAAGTGGTAATTACTAAAAAAAAAAAAAAAAAAAAAAATCCTTTTTGAGGAAAATTTGAAAGTAAAACGAAAACAAGTTTAAGACTTGTTAAAGAAAGTACCACATTGACTTTCATTTTCATAGACTAGAATGTGAAATGCTAAGGAGACTCTTTCAAAGTGGTATTTTTTATGAATTTTCTGCTACCCCATAGTTTAATATCAATTTTCTTACCAACATTATAAAATATTGTGTCAAAAACATGAGGCACCAGAGAGTCAATGGAGAGTTTCACATTTGAGAGAGTCTCCTTAGCATTTTTGCTTAGAAACTATATGTTGAAACCGATATTTAAAAACCTTGCTTATGTCACATTGTGGAAATTGAAATTGTGCAATTTCTTTTTGGGTTGACTAGTTGACGTGTTGACGTTGAAGTCTTTGCCCTACTTATCGAGAAATTGTCGTGTCCTCACTCCTCACCGGAATTTGTGAAGTTGGTAATGAGATCATGATCTCTTCTTTCTTCTAATCAATTTAATCTGGAATTTTTAGGTATATATTGAATTACGGATTGCAACATGAGATCCACATAATTTAAACTTTGAATGCCTTAACAACGGTAGAGCAATCAAGAATGAATTCCAAAACAAATTCCAACTCATTAAGGAAGTAAATATGCAACAAATAATTTAGTGGCCACATTTAGGAAGCAGAAATAAATACATTTTTAAGTAAAATTTAAATGTTTAATCCTCAGTCATTTTTAAGTAAATATAACTAAGGAATGACGGAAGAGCAAGACGAATGTTAATCCACAACTTATGGGGTCTAGAAGCTAGAGCGATAAAAAAAATTTGTTCTGAAACAAATTATATTATTTACATTAATCTTCGCTATTGTTTTTAGTCTCCTCAAAATGAAAAGTTATTGCCTACAACGTACTTTGAGTTTTATGAACATATAACGTGTAGAAAATGGCACATTGTGGAATAATGAGATTGATTTATGGATTAATTTGTTGACTTAAATTCTTCCCTGCCACATTTTGTCTAGTGGAAAGGGGAAGAAAGTGGCGAAACTAAGAAAAGGGCATTTGACACCTGTCCACCCCTAACTCAACGCTTAAACACTGTTAACTTTCTGAAAAATAATTAAAAAATAAATAAACAACAAAAATGGAATTTGAAAAGCCAGAAGCCCAACTGTCCTGCCACTCCCGCTCAACACCGCCCACCACCACCTGCACCGACGAACATCCGTCTGCTCCTTCCAGATCTTCCACACCACAAACCTATAACCCCAACTATGCTCGTCTCCTTCCAGATCCGCCACATTACCAAACCCACTCAAAACCGGAGGCTATGGCGTTGGAAACTACTGTGAGATTTTATTTTTTTTAATTAAAACAATAATGCTACATCCGTTACAGCATTGTTATCATGGAAAAAGAAATTATTGTCAATATGTATTGAAGAAAAAAAGTAAAGAAGCAAAAATAATTAGAAACAAAAATCAATTAAGAAATCTTCTAAGAGAAACGAAAATTTGGAAGGTCCAAAAGATTATGAGCAAAAGCTGCAAATGCACAAGGCAGACAAGAATCCGACCAATGAACCCCAACATGATCAACACCATAGTTTACCAAACAATCTGCCACCGAATTTTCTTCACGATAAATGTAAGAAAACTACTATTGCGAGATTGAGTTCAACGACAGTTTTGTATATAAGGATCTTCATTAGTTTGACATCCAAGAACTAAATCAATGATTTTGATTTAGTGATGATGGGACCGATATCGCCGGGGTTAGAGGTGGCACATGTGAACAAAAAATTCAAATCACTGAGGAGTTGAGTTTGGGTGGATCAGGGTTTTGGGGAGGGGGTGGCGATATCGCCGGGATTAGAGGTGGCACATGTGAACAAATAGGGTTTTATTAATTTGATTTTATGAAATTTTATTACTGCTCATAATTTTTTTGATGTAATAGAAGACTAAATAGTTTTTTCACTCTCTTTTAATTGACAAATAAGGTTTTATTAATATATAGTTTATATGTGCCAAGATTTCAAGCAAGCCACTGAGATGCTACATGTACAAAAGGGTGCAGAAGATTTGAACTCTCCCTGCACATTGTGGAAGAAAGCAGATGACAACGGGTCACATTCACACGCTACTAGCTGCCTGTCAAAGATAAGCACTCGTAACATGCCAATTCAAATAATTTTTTTGTAGGAATGAGACCTCAGAGTCAATAAGTCATCTAGTCAACCAAAAAAGCAATCTCACAATTCCAATTTTTACAATGTGACTTATTAACTCATGCGAAAGGTTTCCAGTTTCCACTTGTCCTTCCTGAATGAAGTAGTACGATCATTTTCGCAAGAAGAAAACATGAGCATGAATTTGGTGCAAATCCCAAAGAGCACGTCCGTTTATCAAGTAGGTGGTGATCGATTTGCAATTTGTTTGTCCTTGTTTTGATGTAGAGAAGCAGTATGATTTACATGTAATATAGTTAAGCCATCGTGACGTTTCAGATTATACAAAACATGACGTATAAGTTCATATTCACCTAAAATTTTATTTATTAGAGAGTGAAATCAACGGTTGCGATGAACTTATTCTATGCGAATTACTTTCTTATAGAACACTACATGATTAGTGAATGTTGCCTAAAGTAAAAACTGTACAATCAAAATCATTAGAGTTTTTCTTTGTTAGTGATTTTCCCATGCCTTGTTTCATTTTTTCATACTCATTTCTTCGCCTTTATACATTTTATTAATACATTTGATATTATCTACACTAAAGAATGAGAGAATAGGCTAAATCTCATAATGAGACGTGAATTTTATGCACATCAAACTCAATAATTAATCCTCTTAGAAATACAACATTTATCTTACCACATATACCCTTAATTAAAATTTAAAAACTAAAAATTATATGAAAACTAGGATACATGGCCCACCCACTAAATTACTCTCATCTCTTATTTTTTAATCTTGCATGTATCGAGTTTAAATTACTTATGTATGTAAAGGCTCTCCAAATCTTGACTCTGCCATTGATTGTAATTGAAATTGGTTAAGTTAGCATTGGAAGGGATATGTTGGAATACTAGTCTAATATTTGATGTAAATAACTTAATTGGATACGTTGGGATTAGTAAAGCATTAAATAAATAAATAAATTCCAGAAAATCAAAAATAAAAAGCTAGAAGTGTTTCACTCTACTCGCGACACCGCAACTCACGCGACACACAACCATCAAGCATTTAATTCATGACGATCTCGGCCTTATTTGATTAATCTGAAAATTGGTATTTAGTCTCAGCCCTTGCCGTCAACTCCAACCGCCGTCTATGTACGATCCATATTAGATCTGATCAACTATCCATCCTACTTCATCTATGTTCTTAACAGCCCATCTTTTCGCCGTTCGTGACCACCACAACGCTCGCCACTCACAACCACCACTCATGACACACCAATTTGAATAATTTGTTGTAGGAATGATTTTCAAATGAAGATTAATAAAATGAATGGTTTTTATTAAGAAACTTATAAGGTAAATATATGTATAAGCAAATTGGAGAATATGTGCATTCCCTATTGGAAAAAATGGAACTCTCATTTTCTCTTTTTACATTTATTTATTTATTATAATATATTGATTGACTAAATTAAAAGAGAATAAATATATAAAGACGTCATTTAGTACTATACTCTAGTGGTATTCATTTTCACTTGTGTTGAGAGAGTTTTAGGTCGAGTTGGATTTGGGCTTTGAGAACATCATATTGTCTCCCTTTGTGCGGATTCGTACCAAGTCTCGAGATATCTCAAAGGAGATAGCTTGTCTTAGGAAATACCCCGGTAACATCAACGACTCGAAGATAGCATGATTGATCAAGATAATGACTTGCTCAAGTGAAGTATGGTGTGGAAGCTAGAAGATTATTGGCTTACATGAGAGATAAGGGATTTACATGGTTGCATGGCATTCTTTGCTAGATAATATGGGCTTTCCTAGGGTGATAATAAGGTTTCTAATGGTTGGGATGCTTGATGGAAAGCTATGGAAATCATTAAGGTTGCTTGGGTGGTGATGCTTAAGGCTTAGAATATGCTTCTGGGCTAACTAGAACTCTCTAGACTTATTTCCTAGGTGGTTCTCTCTTCCTGCGTTTCTCCTATCTCCCTCTCTGTTAATCTCATTCCTTATGTAAGTGAAAGGTTCCTCTCTAGATTTCCAGAGAATCTCCCCTTGTGGCTTGGTCCTCCCCTTCTTTCTCCCAAGGCCTCATATTACTCCCCTTTTGGTGTAAGATACCTGCATTGTTGAGACTTGCAGATTGCTTCTTCTCGAGACGCGCCTTTCCCAGGGCGACCTTCCGCAGATGCTAATTCTGGTAGCACTTTATGGCTTTCGTGTATGTTGGCTGTCTGTGTAGGCTGGGAAGGGAAAGTTAACACTAAATGCTTGACTTGCTGGGCTTAACATGCATATAATGCAAGAATCTAGTTTAGTCCTAACTAAAGGGATTGATTTGCTAGGGAAAGGGATAAACTAGGCTAGTTTTCTCTCAAAGGGTATGGGCTTGGATCCTTGGGCTTCCAAGCAACCCAAAGTCTTCCATGACCTCGATTCCACGTAGGCCTGATAATCTTCCATAACCATCCACACCACAATTCACTTGATAAGCCCCAAATATGTGACTTGGGCTTAGCATGAATAGTGGCTAAGGAAGCATGGCGTGATGAATAGGCATGAGCATGGTGTGAATATCCAGCTTAATCTCCTTGGCATGGCATGCTTGTAAATATATTCCTCGTCAATCCCGTGCCTTGGCATGTGCTTGCGCTTGAATGTAGGCTTTGCATGACAATTGGTTATTGACACTTGGTTAGATTGGTGTGTGACATTTTTGGGCCCCAACAACTTATAAGTGATAGGTTTTAGATTCAATTCTTACCAAAGACAAACTTGAACAAAATTACTATGGCTATGTCACTCCCATTGTGAGGTTGAACCCACTCTCTCATCCCTTAATGTAGATAATATCAAGGGTAAAGTACAAAAAACTACCTCAACTATTAGTGTCATGACACTTTCATACCTTATCTTTTAAAATTGACAATGTCATACCTCATCTTTAGAATTTGGTCCAATATTATACCTTCCGTTACTTGGTCGTTTACTTTTCAGTTAAATGCTGACGTGGCTTGATTCGGGGCCCACTTTCTATTTAAAAATCATTAAAATATAATTAAAAACTAAAAAAAAATTATTTAATATTTTTTAAATATTAAAATAATAATAATAAAAAAAAAAAAAGAAGAAAATAACCCTCACTTCCTCCCTCCCCCTCCCCCTCCTCTCCCTTCTCCCCATCTTCATCTTCTTTCCCCCACCTGCAAAACCCCCCCCCCCAAAAAAAAAAATAAATAAATAAAAAATCCAATTTGTCTTCCCCTGCACCCACCCTCAGTTTGTCTTCCCCCTTCCCACCCCCTCTTCTCCCTCTTGCAACCCAGAAAAAAATAAATTAAAAAAAAAAAAAAGCCCCGTTCTTGTCGGCAGGAAGATGGGTGCGCAGATAAGGTGGAGGATGGGTGCGAAAGAGGATGTGAAGAATGGATGAGAGTGGTGGATTTGGAGTTGGCAAAGGGTTTTTTTTGTTGGGGGGGGGGGGGACCGAAATGGGTTCACTTTGGATTTGTTTTTTTTTCTTTTTCTTCTCCTTCTTCTTCTTTCTGGGTTGCAAGGGGTACACGAAGTTGGGTTGAGAATGTAAGGTGTGAGGATATTATAGGGAAGTATGTGAGGTGTATTAAGATAGTTTTTAATTGAAACAGCATATGTGGGGTATATTATGATATGGTATTTATTCAACAATTTGTGGGATGTTAAATATAATAAGCCTTTAATATATACTAAAGCTGAAATACGTTGAAATTACCCTCCCAATTTTCTACCGATACGCATCATATATGTATTGTATTTATTTTTTATTTTCTGTTTTTTCGTTCTCCCTTCTCACTCTTCTCCTCGACTCAGCTGGCGACGACGACCAACCAACAAAAAAAAGCCCTCGATTGGTGTTTTTGGTTCCTCTCTAAAAGCCCCCCTCTCTCTCTTTCGAAAATTCCTCGCCGCTGCTCTCTCCTTGATGGTTCAATTCGGGTTTGCTTAAATCCTATGACGAGTAAGTATGTCCGATCTGTGATTCTTAGTGTTCTGAAAAGGTTTATCCGCTCGGAATAATTTGAAATTTTGGGAGTTAATGTTTTGAGAAACAGCTCTCAATTTCCGGATTTTGTTTTTGCTGATTTTTGAAGTGGTTGTGAGAACCGGTTCTTTTGAACCAATTTAATCGGTTTTAGCGATTGCATGTGGAGGGTTTTTGAATTTGTAGAGTCGATCTGAAAATATGGTGGGATTTTAGGGGATTGAGAGTGTTTACAGACTGTTTGTTTTCTAAAATTTGGTTTTGGATTAGAAAATGATGATAAATAAAATATCATTGTATAACAAAATGGATCTTATACTCATGCAAAATATCGTTGTATAACAATTTGTTAGACATAATACAAATTTCCCTTGAAAATTCTGAGAGGAGATACATTTTGTGTCCGCAAAAGTCTGACGCACTATTCCTTTTCTTTTTATATCTACCTTTTTTGTTAAGATATCATTTAACCTCGGCTTTTTAGCCAAAATAATCTCTGAGATTTACATAGCACATCATTTTGGTCTCTGAGATTGAAAATGAATAGAAATGGTCTCTGAGATTGTCCACCATCTATGATCTTAGTGATTCCGTTAAAAACTCCGTTAAGTGTCCTAGAGCTTGTAGTCGAAAGTTTGAACAATTTTCAAAGCTTCGTAACTCAATCGTTTCTTAACCAAATTCGACCCATAATATATCAAAATGAAGATAGGAAAGTGTAGAACAAGATTATACCATTTGAAATGATTACGAAGATGGCCAGAAAATAGCCTAAAAAGTGAGTCGTGGAAAACTCGCCGAAAACTATATAAATTTAAACGTTTAAAACTTCTTCAATACTCAACGAAATCGAGTGATTCAAAAACAAAAATCATACTTCTCAACAAGACAAATAGAATGGTACCTTGCTTGACGGTTAACTCACTGTGGTTTGGTTGAAAAACAACTCAAAAGTGGGTAACTAGAGACCAAGACAGCCACTTTCGAGCCGTTTTTCGGCCAAACCACGACCATTTAGCCGTTGAAAAAGGTACCATTCTCATCGATAAGTATGATTTTTGTTCTTGAATCACTTGATTTCGTTGAGTATTGAAGAAGTTATAAACATTTAAATTTTATCCAGTTTTCGGCAAGTTTTCCAATTTTCCCGTGGATCACTCACATCCGGCAACCATTGGGCTTCCAAATAGGTATAATCTTGTTTTAAATTTTCATATCTTCATTTTGATATATTATGAGTCGAATTTGGTTAAGAAACGATTGAGTTACAAAGCTTTGAAAATTGCCCAAACTTTCGGCCAAGAGCTCTAGGACACTTAACGGAGTTTTTAATGAAATGACCAAAATAATGGATGGTGGACAATCTCAGGGATCAAAGTGATGTGTTATACAAATCTCAGGGACCATTTTGACTAAAAAACTTTTGGACATGCTTACACCATAGTAAAATGAAGTTAAGTGCTTCCTTGGGATATTCAGATTGTATGAAAATATGAATATTATCAATGAAAATTGTATTGAAATTCAAAAGGTTTTATTTGCATTCATTTTTTTTCTTTTTTTGTTCGTATGTTTGTGAGGAGATTAGAAACAAGCTCAAAGGTTTTGCACTATTTTCTTTTCTCAATATCTTTGATTCTATATCAAATTTTTTTCATAATTAATTATCCCTTGTGAATGTTGATATTGTAGTGAACAATCACAAGAAGGTAAAATAAGTGAAGAAGAAAGTTGTTGAAGCCAAGTATGTTTAAGGAAATCAAACAATTTGTGCTTTTTTGGCATTTGTCTTCCAAGATACAACGATCACATTCTTGTAATAGTAGCACTCCAAATCACAAAGCTCCATGAACCATAATTGTATTGAAATCTCTCTCGTATGGATTCAACGAGACTCTCTAATATTTAATGCACTATATGTATGAATATATGTATGATTAAAAGTTATTTAATGTTTATAGGAGGCTTCTCTATTTATAGAATTTGAGATACCCTTTTAGAAAATATGTGACTATCTACAAAGAGTCAAAAGTTGTAACTCTTCATTTAAATAGAGACATCTTTCTACCAAAAAGCTCTACTTCTAATTTCCATTCAATTAATAAATTTAATATATAATAATATTATTATTAAATTTTCCAACAATTTTAAGTTTATTTTTCTGTTCATTGGCATGGCTCTTTTGTTCATAATTTGGTTGAAGAATGCAGTGTTGAATCATACATTGATTAGAGATTTATTTTATATTTTCTGTTTCTTCGTTCTCCCTTCTCACTCTTCTCCACGACTCAGCTGGCGACGACGACCAACCAACAAAAAAAAAGCCCTCGATTGGTGTTTTTGGTTCCTCTCTAAAAGCCCCCCCCTCTCTCTTTCGAAATTTCCTCGCCGCTGCCCTCTCCTTGATGGTTCAATTCGGGTTTGCTTAAATCCTATGACGAGTAAGTACCTCCGATCTGTGATTCTTAGTGTTCTGAAAAGGTTTATCGGCTCGGAATAATTTGAAATTTTGGGAGTTAATGTTTTGAGAAACAGCTCTCAATTTCCGGTTTTATTTTTGCTGATTTTTGAAGTGGTTGTGAGAACCGGTTCTTTTGAACCAATTTAATCGGTTTTAGTGATTGCATGTGGAGGGTTTTTGAATTTTTAAAGTCGATCTGAAAAAAAATATGGTGGGATTCTGGGGAAATGAGGGTTTTTCCTCCCCTAAATTTGGTGTGTGCGTTGTGCTGAGTTTGAATTTGAATTTGAGTTTTACAGAGTGTTTGTTTTCTAAAATTTGGTTTTGGATGAGAAAATGATGATAAACAAAGGGCAAGTGTAAGTCATCTTTTCCTCTATTTTGTAGATTTTGTCTCTGGGTTTCGCACAAAGCTAGCAACTTGGTTAATTTTCTAACTATGGTTTCTTATAGGCTGGTGCTCATACTCTTAAATATCATTATCATATACGTGTGGAGTCAGGGGCGGAGCCAATTAAGGCTTATAAGGGGTAACAATGTAGTTCTTCTTCTAACATTTTGCTAAGTTTGTTCAGCTCTAAACCCTTCTCGCCTTTTAATTATTGAATTCCTTACTAATGTTGTTTTGGCTTTTAGTTAAATTAGGTCAAGAAAAGTTCTATACTTAATTACTTTTGGAATGATAATTATCAGTCTACTACATAGATATATTGAATTTATTATAAACAGTTATGAAAAATAGTGAAACACCAAAATGAAAAACAACAGAGATAATGCACAAGTAAAATGAATAAGGGATTATACCTTAGTATTTAAGCTATATAATGTTTATGGATGTGTACCTTACCTTATTGTGTAAAATAAAATATCGTTGTGTAACAAAATGGATCTTATACTCATGTAAAATTTGGATCTACTTCAAATTTGTCATTAAATATAATTTGGTTTTTGTTAAATTTTTCATCATTTTGTATATTTTTCCTGTAACTTTCTGGGTTTTGGAGAAATTTTCGTTAAATTTCTTGGTGTTTTTTTTGTGACTTTATCTGAACTTTGTAGATTTTTTATATGTTTTGTACAATTCTTAGATTAAATTTCTGATTTTGTAAATGATTGGCCAAATTCGAATTTGAAAAACAATATATTACGCCTGTGATTTGTTGTTTATGTGGTAAAAAATAGGATGTCTTTATACTCACGAAGAAGGGTGGAGGAATTTTGAGATTAGGGTAATAAACTGAAGTCTATTTCATCTGGGGACTTCCTTTGTACCAAGTATTCATATTTGGTAATATCCATTTGATTTGGGGACTTCCTTTTCTCAGAAAGAATCATATTTTATTTTATTACTTACAAAAAAGATTCATATAAAGTTGAAGCTTACTGTTTGAGAAGCAGAGAGGCAGATTACGTGTTGAATGGCATCATGAAAATCGTTCAAACAATGTCATGAAAGAGCACTCAACCTGTCTTCAGAAGTTCTTCCAAATCATACATGCAAAACAAAAGCATCAAACAAACAAAACAAGCAGTAGTTACCTTTTTGTTTTCGTAACCTTTGGCCGCTGCAGTAGCGTTCTTGGGTGACTACTTCGTAGTCACCGTGCAGAATAAGGGGATGGTGACACAACTGTTGCCTCCTTGCCACGATTAATTACAGTTCGTTACATACAAAATAAAAAGATTGAGAAATTTGGAAGGAGAAGAAAAGGCTTTGAAGGCTAATGCTAGAAATGGACCTGTGTGTGTCCTTGCGTAGAGAGAGAGAGAGAGAGAGACATGGGGTTTAAATGTGAGGGCAGAGTAAGGAGAGTAAGAAAAAGTATGAGCGGTAATCAATGGCAATTAGTGGAGAGAAAAATGTCATTGTTGGGGTCAAATGCACTTACATTTTCTCTTAATTTCACTGGCAGAAAGTAATAATACTTATACATATTGATGTGGATTTGATCTCCTCTCCCTCTAATATCGAACAATTTAATCTACTAAAACTATCGTTTCTCTAAAAAAAAAGAAACAATTATACAACAATATATTTACACACTAAGGAGGGGAGAATAATTTGTTGCAAACTTGTCACCTTTGAGATTCGAACTTAAGACCTTTCGTAAAAGAAATATCACTAAACAGTATAACTAAGTGGCAAACATTTTTTCCTTTATCGCCTGTCTTATATTATTAAAAAAAATAAAATGAAAGAGTCAGACCAACATCATCCACAGCTTATTGGGTCTAGAGTGATAATTAATGGAGATAAAAATGACCTTGTTCGGTACAAATACACCAGCTGCACCCACTTTTTCTCCAATACTGCTTCAGTGCTTCTTGTCCTTATAAAATATAAAACATTTCTTTTCAATGTACCTTAAATTTTATAATAAGTATATAATTCAATAAATTCTAGACACCAAACTAGCAATATCGAGAATGAGCATCATTTTCGGATTTTTTGTGTGAGGATTTTAGAGATCCTCAAATCATGTGCGTTCGTTGTACATTGTATGATCAGAAATAAATATGTATGTAATATGTAGAAAAATGGGATAGAGTTAAAACCCACTAACTGTCCATTAAACTCGTGGCATTTAAGATAATTTAACACTGGAATTATGAGATTGGTTTATGAATTGACTTGTTGACTGGAAGCCTTCCCTGTACATTGTAGAAGAAAGCATGACGACGGGTCACATTCACAGCCCACTAAATTGTTGAATTTGAAAATAAGAAAAGGGATAAGGTTGTTGCTGCCAAAGAGAAGCACTTGGCGATATCTGAAATGTAACTATGTAAAGTATCTCAAATAAATAAGGCCTTCTTTTTTCAAATGTGATAAAAATTTATACATCTTTTTTAATTTGTTATATAAACTAAAATTTTAAGCAATTTGTTGTATTACGTTCCCACTCGATCCCTTTCAAGATTATTTTGGATATTTTAACTTCCCACTCGATCCCTTTCGAGATTATTTTGGACATTTTAAAGTTATTTCGGACATTTCAACTATTTTTTTAATGGATATGATTGACCGCATCAGATTAATTCTCAAAGCTTGTAATTAGTCAAACTCTACGTTAGTGAGTCTAATGTACCTTTTTAGTAGTCTACTAGTGGCATATATTTTTACTAGCCTAAAATTAGACACTTATTATTAATTATGAATTCATGTTCATGTTTGTCTCGGTTAAGTGTGGTTTGGTATGCAACACTTGCGGCAGTGGAAAGTGGAAAAACATAGCGAAGTGGAAGAAACCATAGTCAGAACATTCTCTGGTCGGGACTTTTTTGGGGCTGGCGGGCATCGAACATTCTCTGGTTGCATTAATTTACCTTCTTTATCTGTGGGTGTTGTTGAAGTTGCTTCTTCCGATTTTTCTTCGCTTTTGGTTTTGATCAGCTTCACTGAGGTTAAATCCATCTTAATGACTAAAATCAGCTAAAATGTACACTACTGAACGACAAACAAACGCACGGAGGCAATTGAAACGCAAAGTACGTTGCCAAGGAAATTAAAGGTGTTTTGTTGAGATCAATATTAAGGCCTATATTTATACTTGTGTGTTCATCGGCTGTTTCTAGCTTTTCTCACTTGCCAGCGGCTGTTTCTAGCTTTTCTCTCCCTTGCCAGCGGCTGTTTTTGGCTTTCCAGTGGTTTTACCTAGCCTTGCCGCACCCTATTTATAAATATAGGGTGTGGTTTACATGCCTATTTTCTAATTCTGAATTCATGTTCATGTTTTTTATCGGTTAAGTGGAAGAAAGTGATGAAATTAAGATTTTACCATAAAATCAATTGGCAATATGGGAAGTAGCCCAAGATCATATAAGCACATAGCAAACCTTGTTCCTCACCGATGTGGGACAATTCTCAACACGTCCCGCACATGTGGTGAATTTTCAAGCCTACATGTGGACAACAACTGAGTGACATAGAGTTCGTGTGGCCGTTTGGCTTCACACGAAGACAACCCGCTCTGATACCATGATGAAATTAAGATTTTACCATAAAACCAATTGGCAATATGGAAAGTAGCCCAAGATCATATAAGCACATAACAAACCTTGTTCCTCATCGATGTGGGACAATTCTCAACAGAAAGCAGGATAGGTCGCATTCACTCGCACCCTACTAGGCCACTACCTTAATGCTCTTGGGTGCCTTTCCCATCCTAATACCTATGAGATATATAATACTTGATTAGGAAGTGTTATTGACCTCTAGCAATCACATAACTTTGCACAAAACACTCAGGTAACTTACACTAATGGTTGCCAGTATTACACAGAAAGAGACAAACACAGAAGAATAATTCAGTAACTCCGAATCTCAGATGGGAAGCCAATAGATTCCAACGAAGTGAATGGTGGAGGCACATTATCACCCTAGCAAAAGATGTAAATCAAATGACTCTGTGAGCAGATCAAAAACTGATATCAGACATCCAGAGAACAGAACATCATTCAGAACAAATCCCCATGTTACCTTCATTTAGAACAAAAAATTTACAAAATTAAAGTAGGGTTCTTCATATTCTCCATTGGGTATCGAAAGTCATGTGGAAAGCTTGGAAATAACCAAACCAACATCCAATTTAGTACACACCTAATAAAAACATAAGCAAGAAACAAAACAATGAAACATCACAAAAGGTTCAGCAATACTAGTAACGAGTGTCCGATAAAATAATTATACTAAATTCATCAAAAATTACGGAAAGGGAGATTTAAACTTGGATGGATAGGGCAAAGCACACTGCTTTAGCTAACTTGGCTAAACGCATGCCTTGCATACGTAGTTAAAAGAAGCTCTATGGAATTACAGTTGGATTTAAAGATGCATACTCAAGTAGCTCCTTGTTGCTTTCAGATATGGCCAGGTCTTCTTCCTTGAGATTCAAGGATACTTTTATGCCATCTCCGTCTCGTGTATCTATCAACACAATTAGATTCTTGAGGTGGGGCTGCCCTGATGACGGGGCAACACGCCTCAAGGCGGCAAAGTGGATGGATTGTGCGAAACCAAGTCATAGTTTTTGCCAAGTCATCGTTTTGGGTTTGGGGAGTGGGGAGGGTTAAACCCTCGGGGGAGAGTGTCTGTCTCAATAGGCAATGTTTTGCATTGATTAAACGGGGCAGTTTTTTATTTAAATGATTAAAGAGGGCGAGAAAGTTAGAAAGTATTACAATAATGAGTAGACAGTCTTAAACTCATGATGCATAGGAGGTTGGTGGCAAGTGGGTGGCGAGTACAAAAATGAGTGAAGGTCGGTTTGGTAGATCGGCTTATACATGACTATTTCGACTAAAAAGGGAACTAGTGTTCTGGTGGTTGTAATTTAGGGCACGTATAGAGGGAGAGGAACTTTCGATGTTCCATATTCTGTCTTCAAGTCTTGTATAAAGTAGAGAAACTTATCCACAGCGAGATGCACATATGATGTTATGATGAAACAATCACACATCTTTATGTGTCTTATCTCTTCCACATGACAGTATACGAATTTGAGGTAGCATTTATGTTGCATGAAAAATCCTTTTTGGTACCACGATAGTTTACGTCTAAGCAGAGGGGATAATCTACTCTAAGATGAAAGGCTGAGTTAGGTCATTCAATAGATCAGTCACTTACTAGGTATCAAACTAAACCACAGTTCCAAGTGATTGCGAATTGCAGTGAAGTTGAAGGGAAGATGACAAATTTTCCTCGACTTTTACTGATGACAGAATTTGGCTGCCATGAGATATATTCAGCAACAAGCTGCTGCTGAATTGACATTTTTGTTAAAATTGGTTCATGACTTGTTCCAGTTGTGGAAGTGATGATCTTTTAAGGGATGCTGGTGTTGCCAATTGGAAATTTTGATCAGCCAATGATTGTACAGGGGACTGCTACGTAGCATGGGACATAAAATTTGGTTGTCCTTATCACCTCATCAAGTCTCTCTAAATTTTTTTATTTTTTATTTTATTTTATTTTACATAAAACATGAAATCCAATGATGTTTGATATCATGACCAACAATACAACTATTTCTTAATTATTTATCCTCGTTCGTAAATTTACGAGTGTTTCAATTGTTGCACACATCAAAATGATTCGTATTTTACCATAAATGTAATATACATATACATACATACTGAAATATACGGTTTATCAATAGCCGTATAGAGCTTGATCGAAATCTGGATGGTTGGTATCGAAATCTGTATGGTTGGATCATCTACCAAAGGTGTTCACGTGCAGAGCATAAGTTTCGGATCGCATTGTATACCGAGGTTTTTTCTTTTGACTACCATATCTGGCCAAAATCACTAAGCGGAATGAATTCAGTTGAGATTTTGAAGGATTTTGAAAGAGCATGGCATTGACATACTGAACCATTAACCAACAAGCAATCTTTAGCAGAATCCCTTCGCAACTTCAGTAGAAGATAAAAGGAAATGCCAAGTTGAGATAATGAACATATAATCGCATATATAAAATTGGATTAACAAAGCTCCAATTACAATGAGGACTTCAAACATCCATAGATGGATGCCACAGACAAACTACAAAGATTACGAGGGAGAATTACCGAAGTCATAAATTACTTTGCTAGACTAGCCACAGAACTAGAGTTGGTTGGAAACATATCGAACGAGAAAATACAACAGTCAAACATACCAGCAGTAATAAGCAAGCTTCCTAAGAAAAACACCTGATTGTAATATAGCCTAAGCCTCAATGATGAACACAACAAAATGATTTCGGGAAGCTAAACGAAACTTGACCTACTAAGATCATCTTTTCTTGAAACCATACTTTTTCCGTTCATAGAACAGATCCGTTTTGGCACTTCCCAGATTCACAATTTTCGGACAGCCATCTCTATCTTTCTCCTGCTGAGTACACTCTTTGCAGTAATAAGCATCAGAAATTCCAACCCCTCCACAGATAACACACCTTCCCTGGAAAGATCCATAGTTGCACTCATCGCAAACCCGAACAAGCGTGCAAGGACGCACATAAGAGTCACAAATTACACACTTACCGTCACACTTCTCACACAACCTTCCAATAGCTATTCCAGGTTGCTTCCGGCACATAATCAGGTCAGGATGATGCTTCGCCATGTTCCTGCAACAATAGGGTAAAGTAAGATGCTGTCCAACAGATAGAACAGCGCCAAATTGCAGTACAAACAGAATCCAAACAATAAAAAACAGAAAGAAGAGATAAAAGAGCAATCTAATTGAAGTTGGAAACTTGGAACGAAGATAATTGAGTCCTATGGCAAGAAACCCAAGAGGAAACTCTGATATCTGAGAATATATTGATAAAATCTGAATACATTCTTGGCCTATTTAGACTAGTGGACAGCAACCTAGAATTCCCAATCCTTGTTTCTAAGAATCCTTATTCTACTAGGAACTACCAAATTAATCCTATTCCTACTACTTAATAAATCCTAATCCTATAAATATAGGCTACACAAAACATAAAGGAAACATGAAATACTCCCAAATTAACAAGAACCCTAGCCAGCTATGTAGCTATCAGACTCACTTAGCTTTCGAGAGCCCCTTAGATGCTCCTGCATCAACTGATAACACTACTACAAATTCAAAAATTTCAAGACTAACCCAATATGCAAATCTGCATAATTTCAACACTTTCATGCCAAATTGCAGAGTGTTTATATTCACAAATCATGAAACTTACGCCAAATCAATCAGCTACGAGTATTTGCATACTCATTTACAACTACGCACAAAAATAATAAAAGTGGTTTACTTTTTTAACAACAATTCATCAAGAGTACGAACTAACAAAGAATGTAAATTCAAGAAAATGTGCAATTTCATCTTCAATGAAAAGTAGTTCATTGACCCAAAGTACAAAAACAGAAAAACCCACAAAAATCCAACTTTTTTTTCCTTTTTTAATTTCTAATTACTCTTTCAACTTCTGGGCGCTAGCGATATTGCCTGATTCCAATCACAGAAAACAAATTTTGGGATTTAAAAAGGCTGTGTAAATAGATGAAACGATTCATGAATTGCATAGAAAAGGAACCCTAAAACAGGTAATCGAATGCGCATTCCGCTAGAAATTTGAATTTCAGATGGAAAAAATTCAAAAGTAAGCAGCAGTTTCTACATACGCGAAAGCTAGATAGGAAGAACGAGTAGCTAAAGGACCAATGCTTACCGAAGATAGCTGGAGAGAACTCAGATCAAGGGCTGCTACTGTATGAGAGATGAGAGCACAAATGCGGGGACTGGCGCGATTGGGGAAGTAAGGCTCCCCTGACGGAGAGAATCGAATAGGGCTAATGTTTTGTTTTCTTTTAAGTTTCAATTAAAATTTGGGTAAATTACATAATAATCCCTCATATTTGAGGTCTATTACAATCTCATACAATATCTTTAAAACATTTCACTTTCATACCTCACATGTTATTTTAAGTTTCCATTAAAAATTCATACAACAATGTCAATTTTTTTTCGCCTAGCCTGAGTTTTCACTCTTTTTAATTTTGACAACCAAATTTATAAATGAAACGAAAATATTTAACAAGTTGTGTGAAAATTAAGAAGCGTTCATGTTCATAACTTCATTTTTATCAAAATGGCTTTATGTAATTTAATAAAAAACACTTAATGAATTATTATAAATAATAATGACAAAAACAGGAGAGCGGTGGTGATAGCGTCACAGATGACTTTAGTTTGGGTGCAGTAAATGTATCGTAAATAAGTTAAAGTTAATGTCATCAACAATCATTTCTTTATAAAATTTGTAACCGTCCTTATGATTAAAATAAAGTTCATTAGATAATTTTGGATAAAAATAAGTTTGAAAGGCTTTTTTCACTAGTCTTAAAAAAAAATTATTTTTATGGTAGGAGGGTAAATTGGCACGTTTCGATAGGACTCAAAAACTAAACGTTTCGGTCGGACTCAAAAACTAAACGTTTCGGTCGGACTCAAAAACTAAAACGAAAGTTGTAAAAATAGAAAGAAGGTCAAAAGTTAAGCGGTATAGAATGTGAAAAATACGCACGTGTATAACCTTACTAAAATAAAACTTGGAAATTTTGGGCGTTTGTAAAAATTTTAATATTTATTTAATCAATAATGTGGGTAAAATGCGTGAATTTATATGTATTATTAAAAAACGTGTGAAAAAAACATGTTTTAAGCTTGAAAAATAGGTATCGTACGTTGGAGTTTTAAAAAACATACAATTTAACAAATCATTAATACGTGTAAGGAAAACAAAACTTGTTAAAATACATACGTACATATATAATAAAGATATTACGCGCAAATTTACAAACTGTGAAGTTAAATGAAAATGCTAAAAATTTTGAGAATTCGTTCTTTTCTAATAAAACATATTGAAGAAATGTTAGCAATTTTCATATTAAATTTAATGTTTTTTTTTGTTTTATAGAAGCAATTTTATGGAGTGGATAATCGATCCTAGGATTTCAACTATAACGGAACAATGCTCCTAACTTATGCCCCTTTCACTCCCCTTTGCACTAAACCTTAATGTTCAGCTCACACCATCACTCAACTTTTTGCTTCTCTTTTACAAGTGAAAATTTAATTTATGTTTTCACTTATGAATATGGCAAAATAACATTTTTAGATCACCATTAACAACAAATCTCAAGATTAAAGAAAAATGGAACTAGCAATTTTTTTATTATCCACCTTCTCTCTCACACTACTAAGACCATTTGCAATTTCTACTTTTTGCAGAAGTTAGCCATTCAACAAAGAACATAAAAAAAATTATCCAACAAAAACCGCTAATCATTAAAATTCTGAAAAGCACACAAATTAAAATCCGAAAGCTTCAAGTCATATAAGTAAACACAACACAAACATCAACGAGACAAAATTCAAAGCGATAGCAAGAGAGTGAAAGCAAAAATAAAAAGAAAATTTTGGTGAGTAGAGAGTGGAAAATATAATTAATGAGTGATCATGTCCTTTCTCCTTTGAGCAACATACTTTGTCCTTCTCAAGTCTTCTTAAACATTGAGGTACAAGTCTCTGATTGCGCTCATTTTTCTGACAACATCGTCCATTAGCATCCGCTCCCTCGGCGACATTGCACAGCAAGAGAGTCCAATATGCATCATTGAAACCAAGCATTCCTTTAATTTCTTTGCTTTCACCGGGCCACGATTGTTACGTCTAGATGGAGTTCGTTCTCGCACTATGTCATCGTTGACATCACCATCTGCTTCGAGGTCAAGGATAATTGAATGGTCAACAATGTCCATGACATGGTCAGGCAAAGCCATGGCTACGAATTGGTAAATGCTTAGACCGTCTTTGAACATGTCATCGGTAGGCCTTTTTCCTATGAACATTTCCAACAATAGTATCCCATAGCTGTAAACATCTCCAAGTATGGAAACCTGGCCTCCTGTGCCGTACTCTACCAGGACATACATACAATATGTCAAATGCAATGGACTATTAGAACAATATCTTCTTTGGATTTATATGTTACTTATTTACCAAGAAAAAAGAAGAAGCAGTAATATATGAGATTAATTAGTTGGAGATTAATTAGTTGGTTTTTAGTAATAATTTACTAAGAACATAAAAAGGAAATTAGAATGATAGAAACTCATACCTGGAGGAATGTAGCCTATAGAACCCTTTAGCTGAGATGACATTGTTTGACTGAATGAGGGATCATTTGATGTTTCATATAGAAACCTTGCTAAACCAAAATCCCCTACATGGGCTACCATATCTTTATCAAGAAGTACGTTGCTCGGCTTTAGATCACAATGAACAATGGCTGTTTCCCAATGGTGGTGGAGACAATCTAACGCAGAAGCAACATCAATGGCAATGTTCAATCTTTGCATAAAACTCATTCTTTTACTTACAGATTCCTCCTCATATCTTGGATACAACATTGAGTCTAGACTTCCATTTTTCATGAACTCGAAAACTAGACATTTGAAGTCCTGGCCCTGATTATCAATGCTTGAGCATGTAGTTATGATCTTGAGAAGATTACGATGCCTTATACTCCCTAAAACTTTGCATTCATCTATGAAACTCTTGGAGGCTCCTTGTTGTTGAAGGTTGAATACCTTAACAGCAACTACTGTTCCATCACTAGGAATTATCCCTTTATAAACAGAACCAAAACTTCCTGAACCAATCAAATTATCTACAGAGAACCCATTAGTTGATTCAAAGAGTTGTGAGTAGGAGACACCTGATTTCCAATCCTTATAAGAATGTGAAGTTATGAGTCTATCTCTTGACCTTTTCAACATTGAACAAGCACCAAAGAGGCATGATAGAGCAATTATGATTGCAAGTGCACAGGCTATAGGGATGACTACTTTTGGAGAAAATAGTCCTCGAGATGAATGGTGCTTTTTTGGGTGGCATGAAGGTAAATAGAATTGTGGGATGCCACCACAAAGCCTATGATTTCCAACAACAAAGACACCACTGGTATTTGCAAAAATACCTTTTTTAGGCAACTCACCCTCAAAATCATTATACGAAAGATTGAGATACTTGAGAGCACCAAGCTCGCCTATGAACTCAGGAATTTGCCCAGACAAGTTGTTGCTTGAAATATCAAGTCTTTCCAAGCCTTTTAAATCTTTAAGAGATTGAGGAATTGTTCCTTCAAACTTATTAACTTGCAAATACAAGCGCTCCAAACTAGTACAACTGCCAAGGTTGCTCGGGATTTTACCTGATAAATTGTTTCTTAATACATTTAGCTCTGTGAGATGCACTAAATCACCCACTTGAAAAGGCAGCGAACCAGTGAAATAATTGTCAGACAGGTCTAAAGAAACTGAAAGGGTTGAAAGGTCCATGAGGGTTTTAGGTATGGTGCCCATAAGGTTGTTACTTGAAATGTTAAGATCTAAAATGTTTCGGTAGTTCCCAAGACTTGGAGGTATATTACCCTCAAACCTGTTGAACTCCATGTGGAGGTTTAACAATGAAGTCATGTTACCAAGGGAAGACGGGATTGACCCAGAAAATTCGTTACTACCCAAATACAGTTGCTCTAACTTCTCTAGCTTCCCAATTTCATGCGGGACACTACCGTCCAAATGGTTATTTTCTAAGTTTAGAGCGGTCAAGTTTATAAGGTTTCCAATGCCGTTACGGAGGCTTCCATGTATAAAATTTCCCCCCAGTGTGAGATACTTAAGTTGGGTCGAAAGGTTGGCTATGGATCCCGGGATTGCTCCTCCAAAATTATTAACGCTAAGTGCCAAAACCTCCAAACTAGTGCAATTAGCCAAGAAACTGAGAAAACTCAAGTCACCAACTTTTCTATTTCCTAATTGATTGAATTCCATGGTTAGCTTCAATAAGCTTTGCAAGCTTCCTACACTTTCACCAGGGACTATCCCAGATAGGCCATTTCCAGAAAATTCAAGAATCTGAAGTCTAGAAGCATTTGACAATGATATAGGAATATTTCCTGTGAATTTGTTCTCATTGCAGTAAAATTCTGCAAGATCAGGAAGCATAGTGCCGAGATTTGGTGGTAGCTCTCCATGCAACTGGTTGACAGCAACACTGAAAATTTGTATGGAAGAAACATTATAGATTGAAGAAGGGACCATACCAGACAAATTATTCAGCTCAACTATGAATTCCACCAAGCCTGTTATATGCCCCAGCTCATTTGGTATGCTTCCTTGCAAATTGTTGCTCCCAAGATAAAGGAACTGCAAAGAAGAAAAGTTTCCTATCCATGGTGGGATGGTTTCAATGAGACTGTTACCATAAAGCAACAGACATTTTAAATTCAACAATGAACTGAGTTGGTTGGGGATGGACCCCTTAATCCGATTGTCTTGTAGATCAAGCACTTTTAGTTGTGTACATTGTGACAAATTAGTTGGAATTACCCCACGGAAGGAATTATAAGAAATGTTGAGATATTGTAGGCTTTGTAGACGACCCATTTCTGGAGGAATTTCCCCATGAAAGTTGTTGGCTCCCAAATTGATTCGAGTAAGATAAGTAAGATTTCCAACGGAAGGTGGAATGGAGCCTACCAACTTTTGAGATTCCAGGTTCAACATCAAGACTCTTTTGGTGGAACGGTGGCAAGAAACCCCAACCCAGCTGCAGAAATGGACGGAATGATTCCACGAGCTCATGACATCCAAAGGATCTTTAGTTATTCTTTTCTTGAAGTCTAGCAGAGCCAAGCGATCACATTCATTTCCAAGCAGAGTAAGGCTACGAAGTGCTGTAGATTCGAGGCAGGTGCTCATGCATAAAAGAAAGAACGCATGCAGGAATTTGAACAAAACCAGCTTACGGTTGGTACGTGAATGGTCCATCGTTGTTCTAAGACAGAGAGCAAAACAAGTTAATTAACGAAGTTGAATTTGCATAAATGCATAAAAGAAAAGAAATGCTATCGCATGGAAGAAACGCTTGATTCAACATGTTTACAAAAAAATGTGATGGCGACTGTAAGGACCAAGCAAGAATAATAGAGCTCCACCCTGCCGTACATCTTACAAGGAATGGAGGAGATTTTTCAAATGGTGTTTTTTGGGGGGGGGGGGGGGAACCTTGTGAATTCTTAATTAATCTTTTGGCCACACAAGAGTCAGTCACAAGTAACATTTAGAAGGAAAAGTTTAAAGAAAATTTGGATTATTAACTAGATTTGGAAGAAAAATTTTAATTTAAACTAAAATTGAAATACTGTTCATAAGTGCAATGTTTTTCAAATTTTGGCCCTCGCTCTGTTTATGTTACTACGCCTCTGCCTCTGCCTCTGCCACGCCTCTGATCGTCGTTCTCTTTCTCTCTTTCTCTCGACATCTCGATTCAGAACCCCTACCCACGAACCCAGAAACACCTCAAACAACCACCATCATCTCGATTCAGAACCCCTACCCACGAACCCAGAAACACCTCAAACAACCACCATTCTCATCCTTTCGACCTACCCAATCTCACTCCCCAGGTCAGATTTATACCTTGAATGTACCATTTGTTGTGATTTTATCCCTAAAACTCATGAGTTTTCTGACGTTTTTGCAACGATTTCGGCGAAGGCTGGCGTCGACTTGGTCTCAAACGATTTCTCAGCACCTCAGGTATAAAGATCTACTTCAAATTTGTGATCAATATAATTGGGTCCTAGTAAATTTTTCATCATTTTGTAGAATTTTTTTTCCTTCTAACTTTATGGGTTTTGGAGAATGTTTCGTTAAATTTCTGGGTTTTTTTTCTGTGTGATTGTATCTCGAATTTAATAATTTTTTGTATGTTTTGTACAATTCTTAGATTAAATTTCTGAAGTGATAAGCCAAATTCAAGTTTGAAAAAAAAAAAAAAATTATTATACCTGTTTTGTTTATGTGGCAAAAATAGAATGTCTTTATACTCACAAAGAAGAGTGGAGGAATTTTGAGATTAGAGTAATGAACTACTTTGGAGCTAAAGGTTGTTGGTTGAGAAATTAATAAGATTTTCTAAGACCGGTATTAGATTTGGAATCTAAAGGTCTTCATTTAAGTAGGTTAAAAACAAAGTATATGGAGTGTAAGTTCAGTGCAAACGGAGGCTCAAATGAGTTAGGGATGAGGATTGGAGATCAGAAAGTACCAAAGAGCGACCGCCTTCGCTACCTATGATCTATCTTGCAAAAGAACGAAGAGTTGGATGGAGACCTTAATTATAGAATGCAAGCTAGATAGATGAAATGAAAGAATGCATCCGGCATATTGTGTAGCCGTCGTATGCCATTGAAGCTCAAGGGAAATTTTTATAGGACGGCAATAAAGCCAGCAATGCTTTATGGCACAGAATGTTGGGCAGTGAAGAATGAACACATACATAAAATGGGTGTAGTGGAGATGAGAATGCTTCGTTGGATGTGTAGGCACATGAGAAATGATTAGATTAGGAATGAGGATATCGGAGGTAAAGTAGGAGTAGTCGAAATTGAAGGAAATATGAGAGAAAATCAGTTACGGTGGTTTGGACATGTTAAACGAATCCCTACTGATGTTTTGGTTAGAAGATGCGATTACATGACAGAGGTTTATGGCCGAAGGGGTAGAGGAAGACCTAAGAAGATTTTGGAAGAGACTCTAAGAAAAGACTTAGAGTACTTGGATCTAACAAAAGACGTGACATAGAACTGAGTGGAATGACGTTCTAGAATTCATATAGCCGACCTCACTTAATAAAAATGACTTTGTTGTTGTTGTTGTTGTGAACTATGTATGTGATTTATGTTGGATTAGAGAAAAAAAAATAAAATAAAACACAAGAAATGCAGCAATTGGAAACATGGCTGCAAGTGATAAGACCGAGTCATTGTTTTAAATAACTATACTACTTTTGGATATGTGTCTAAGGTGGTACCCCCATTCCAAGGCAAATGGGAACGCTTGACCATAGTAACCTAATGGCTTTCTTTGTTGTTTTTCCTTAATGGTTTATTGATTCCGTGTTTTTTTACTGAGTTTTTGGCAATGGATATTTTATATTTCACAATGATTCTTTATTTGTTGTTGAGTTGCTAAAAGCAAGCAAAACCTATAAAATTGACCTTTGGGAATAAAAAGTTGCTTCATTGGTGTGTTTATACTTTTTTTATTGTATCATGTGAAATGATAAGTTTAGATTCCTAAAAAATTAGATATTAAAATAACATTAAGATGCACAATGAATAATTCGAGAGATCTTATAAGTGGTTTTGAAAGTGGTTAAACCTCCTGAGTCCTGTGCTATAAGGCCCAACCCACTATACTCATCAATATGCTGGACAAAAAACACATTTCCCTTGAAAATTCTGAGAGGAGATACATATTGTGTCCATAAAAGTCTGACGCACTATTCCTTTTCTTTTTATGTCTACCTTTATTTGTTAGGGTAAAGTACAAAAAACTACCTCAACTATTGCGGTCATGACAGTTTCATACCTCATCTTTTAAAATTGACAATGTCATACCGCATCTTACGAATTTGTGACAATGTCATACCTCCGTCAATTTTTCTGTTAGTTTTTCTGTTAAATGCTGACGTGGCAATAGACGGGGACCACTTTCTATTAAAAAATTAATAAAATATTATTAAAAACTAAAAAAAATATTTAATATTTTTTAAATATTAAAATAATAAATAAAAGTAAAATTAAAAAAAAAAGTTTAAAGTACAAAAAACTACATCAACTATTGGGATCATGACAGTTTCATACCTCATCTTTTAAAATTGACAATTTCATACCGCATCTTATGAATTTGTGACAATGTCATACATCTGTCAATTTTTCTGTTAGTTTTTCTGTTAAGTGCTGACATGACTTGATTCGTGACCTACTTTCTATTAATAAATTATTAAAAACTAAAAACTAATTATTTAATGTTAAAATAATAATAAAAGGCCAAAAAAAAAAACCCTCATTTCGTCCCTCCCCTCCTCCCTCCTCCCTCCTCCCTCCTCCCTCCTCTCTCCTCTCCCTTTCTTCATCTTCTTCCCCCACCTGCAAATCCCAACAAAAAAAAAATAATCCAATTTGTCTTCCCCCCACACTCGCACTCAATTTCCCCACACCCACACCCGTACCCACACCCACACCCACACTCTTCTCCCTCCTGCAACCCAGAAAAAAAAAAAAAAAAAAAAAACCCAGATCTCGTCGGTGGGAAGATAGGTGCACAAAGAAGGTGGAGGATGGGTGCGGAAGAGGATGTGGAGAATGAATGAAAGTGGTGGATTTGGGGTTTGATGGGTTTTCAAAAAAAATAATTTTTTTTTTCCTTCTTCTTCTTCTTCCTTCTTCTTCCGCAGGGGGTTTGATGGTTTTTTATTTAAAAAAAAAAATTTCCTTCCTCCTTTTTTTCCTCCTCTTCTTCTTCCACCTCCTTCTCCTTCTCCTTCTCCTTCTTCTTCTTCTTCTTCCGCAGGGGGGTGTTGATGGGTTTTCAAATTTGTTTTTTATTTTTTCTTCCTCTTCTTCTTCTTCCTCCTTCTCCTTCTCCCTTCTTCTTCTTCCGCGTTGATAGGGGGAATTTTTTTTTTCCTTTCTCCTTTTTTTTCTCTTCTTCTTCCTCCTCCTCCTCCTCCTCCTCCTCCTCCTCCTCCTCCTCCTCCTTCTTGTTCTTCTGTAGGGGGTTGTTGGGTTTTCAAATTTTTTTTTTTTTAATTTTTTTGGGTTTGCAGGTGGGGGGAAGAAAATGAAGATGGGGAGAAGAGAGAGGAGGGGGGAGGGGGAGGGGAGGGACAAACAGATGGTTTTTTTTTCTCTGCTTTTATTATTATTTTAATATTTAAAAAATATTAAATAATTGTTTCTTTAGTTTTTAATAATTTTTTAATAGAAAGTATGTCCCGAATCAAGCCACGTCAAAACTTAACAGAAAAACTAGCAGAAAAATTGACAGAGGTATAACATTGTCACAAATTTGTAAGATGCGGTATAACATTGTCAATTTTAAAAGATAAGGTATGAAACTGTCGTGACCCCAATAGTTGAAGTAGTTTTTTGTACTTTACCCTTTTTTTTTAATTTTACTTTTATTTATTATTTTAATATTTAAAAAATATTAAATATTTTTTTTTAGTTTTTAATAATATTTTAATAATTTTTTAATAGAAAGTGGTCCCCGTCTATTGCCACGTCAGCATTTAACAGAAAAACTAACAGAAAATTTGACGAAGGTATGACATTGTCACAAATTTGTAAGATGCAGTATGACATTGTCAATTTTAAAAGATGAGGTATGAAACTGTCATGACCGCAATAGTTGAGGTAGTTTTTTGTACTTTACCCTATTTGTTATCTATGACCATTGCACAGGTGTTGTTTCTTTTTATATTACCTTGATTGACGACAGGATAAGCACTATTTGTCGGCAATTCAAGGTAACATTAGCTTCTCTTGAACCAATGCCTGCACTATTCCTTTTCTTTTTATATCTAACTTTTTTTGTTAAGAAATCATTTCACCTCCCAATTTTTTTAACATGCTTAGACTATAATAAAATGAAGTGAAGTTATAAGCTTTCTTGGGATATGCAGAAAGTATGAAAAATATGAATATCATGAAAGAAAATTGTATTGAAATTCAAAAGGTTTTATCTGCACTCAATTTTTTTTTTTTTTTTTTTTTTTTGTTCTTATGTTTGTGAAGAAATTTGAAACAAGCTCAAAGGTCTTGCACTTTTTTCTTTTCTCAATATCTTTAATTCTATATCAAATTTTATTCATAATTAATTCCCTTTGTGAATGTTGATATTCTAGTCTTATATTAGCATTGTATTATGACATTGAAATTGATTTCCCACTGGACAAGGAAACATATTCAGTTTCCTATA